AAAAAAGAGTGATAATGGTTTAATTTTGTCAAAGTTTTTCACTGGTTGAGGTTTATCATCTGCTAGTTCTTTATCATGGAGCAATGCTACTGAAACAATAGCTGTGTTAGACCCACCTTTGGTGGTATTTGAATGGAAACCATTTAAGTTTAAAGTGATGATCTTTGATGCGGAGGCTTTGTAGGACGCCGAGGAATGATCAGAGCAGGTTGATGTTCTGCTCCACCCTCTCAGCTCTAACTGAAACATCTTTCTCCATCTCCTCCAGGGTGAAGCTTCTCGTTACATTTTCCTCAACAAGTTCAGGAAGTTCCTGCAGGAAAACGCCAGCAACCGAGGGGTAAGAACCACCAGAGAAGCATCAGCATAACATCAATCATACTGTTTATTTAACTGAGTCCTATCTGATGAAGTTGGTCAGTGTGGATTGAGGATGTGTTTCAGCTTTTAAGGTGTTTACTGATGGGCTTTTGGCAGAACAGTAACCATCATGATGACCCAATTTGTGTCTGAGCAGCATCCCACAGCTCTGTGCCCTCCGGAGTACATGGTGTGTTTCCTGCACCGCCTCATCACCGCCGTGAGGAGCTGCTGGGATGAAGGCAACAGGAAGAGCCCCAGCAGCCTCAGCAGTGAAGGTGGGATCATATCATCATCATCATCATCATCTGCTGCATCCTTAGTGATGAAGGAGGTTTCAAACATAATCACTCTGTCTGCTAGATATGAAACACCTGGAACAGCTGATAATAGAAGTTTCTCTGCTGAGGTTTAAAGGCTGCAGCGATGGATGGAGGCTGTTCCTCTGAGTTTAATTGTTCCTGGGGTGTACTGACCTTGAAATTCATGTTTTCTAAAGATCGAGCATCTGGATCGTCTAATTGTCAGGAGTTTCTTTGATTGCATCGAGAGTATTGATGCCTGCAGTAGGGCTTCAACTACCAATTATTTTGCAAAACGATTAACTTGTTGATTATTTTTAGATTAATCAATAAATAGTCGAATAGCGAAAGAAGAGTTTTTTTAATTTGAGGAGATCTGTTGAGAGTTTTTTTTTATCTTAAAAGGAAAATGTTTAAATATTTTTTTACCATCTTGGTATAATGGCTGCGCTAAATGGGTCACTCTGTCACCTACAGGCATGTTTTATAATCTCTATATTCCAGGTAACGGTTAATCGCTTACTAAAGTATTTGACGTTTATTTTAATAATCGATTAATCATGATTAATCCAATTAATTATTTTTCAGCCCTAGCCTGCAGTAAGTAAGAATGAGCTAAAATCTGATTAACTTCCTCTCCTCTCGGACCACATGGTGGTGCTGTGTCCTCATGAACTTTAGCATCTCTACAGTTTGAGAAAATCTGAGGATCCTGAAGAGCTGCTGCCTGTGATCCGTCCTTTAAACACTAATAACTTTGAGTGATTTGCAGATGAAGTTCATTAGAGCCATGTTAACAGTTAACTTGACCATCACTTGGTTGTTAATTATTTCTGTACGCTGGCTGTCGGTGATTAGTCTGTGCCGGAGTGGTCGGTAATTAGACCCTTACCTGTGTTTCTCTTTAATTTACCCGTACCTGGAATTCTAATTGATTATCTCCTTACTTGAGTCATTATTAATTGCTCTGTACCTTGATCTTCATTATTTAGGTCCTTACCCAGGTTTTCATTATATGTGCAGTGCCTGGCTCTTTATTAATTAGGGCTCTACCTGGGTTGTCTTTCTTTAGGTCTTTATCTACATGTTTTGTAATTTGGTTTTGAATATTTTTTAGCAATTATAATGGAAAATCATAATGACCAAAATCCCCCACAATTTGTAGATATTTAGGGTTTAAAAAAGGCATTTTTAATTATTGCACCAGCAGCAAAACTTTCAACAGTTAAGTTCTGTTGTGGTCTTGTTTGTTTACCACTAGCAAATGTTGATAATCACAGTTTATTTCTGCAATTGGCAGCTAATAAATATTAATAAAGATGGCAATAACTATCACTGTATTACCAAACCATAGACTTAAAAGGCGTGTTTGAGTGCTTACTTTTAGAGACAGGAGATCAGTCTCGACGGACCGTTATGCTCTAAAAAAAGTCACCGTTACGCTGAAAATCAGGCCGATGCGCTCATCTTTATAAGCATAATGGATCTTTGTCATCTGGGCTTCCTCCTCAGCTCATCAGCACAGATGCTAAATAAGTCGCTGAGACTTTTAGAATCAAAATTGACCTTTAAATGAGCGTAACATCCGTGGTAAATGTGTTTTTAAACACATTTATTTGCATATATACATAAGGAAAGCGCTGTCGGAACATGAACTCCAACCGACACACCGCTCACCGAGGAGGTTGAACATGCTGCAGCCCCAATAGCAGAGAGAAAGCTTTAAAAAAAACAAGAAAAAAATAAAAATCTGCAGTATTGTCATCTAATATATACAAAAATGCTGTAGAAACATCCCTACTGGCCACAGCAGGGAAGCAAAGAAGAACAAAGGAGTTGGTCTGACTTAGCTAGCCTGGGGTCTGCTGAAAGTTTTCTGATTAACACACTTTAAACAATCACAGCAACATTTAGCAGAAAGTTCAAAGCAAGAGCTTTAAACTTTAAACCTGCACAAGGCTACAGCTAAAATAGCTTCCTGCCAGACATTGGAGAAATGCTAAATTAGACCATTTTATTTTGTTTCTGGGTCAGGAACCGACTGGATTTCAGCCTTACTGGTCTGAGCGGTTCCAGTAATAGAGCAGTGAAGGGTAGAAAAACAGGAAGGAATGCAACGTCTCCTTTGGAGATTCTCTGTCTTTGGATGTCAGGCTGTTGCACTGATCCAAAGACCTTTGTGCTAAATGTTCATGCATACGGATTATAAAGCTAAGCTGATCCAGAAAGCTTCATCCACTGAATCAGTAGAGATCAAACACTGTGATTAAGGCTGGATGAGGCCTTCTTATTAGCAACGTTAATGCAATAGTGTCCGGTGGCGTTTTGAGTCTTTTAGTACTGTTTTGAAGTCAGAGCTACAACGATTAGATGTGTAGTTGCAGTTTCTTCCAGTCAGTATTTATCATTAGCTTTCTGTTCCATCTCTGATGTCTCTGTTTCCTATCTTATCAGTCTGTCTCTCTTCTATCTCTGCAGATGCCTACGTCCCCCCGCAGCTCTTCTACAATGGGAAGGTCGACTACTTTGACCTGCAAAGACTGGGGGGGCTCCTTTCTCACCTGAAGAAAACCCTTAAAGGTGAGACAATCGTTCATAGAATAAATTAGAATAGAACTTTATTGATCTCACATTGGAGAAATTCCCTTATGACATTGGCTCTTATAAACAAAGAAGAGGTTCACAAAGGAGGAAAAGGTGCTTGAAGTACATAGAGTGCATCCAGATATATACAGTGAATGGTAAAAAATAAAAGATATTTAAGATGATGGCAGGTAAAGTACGGTTTCTGGTTTGTTAAATAGAGAATAGTATAAGTTATTGCAGTGTTATTACACCAGGTTATAGCGTAGTGGCATTGTTGAGTCTGATGGCAGCAGGGATGAATGACCTGTGGTAGCGCTTCTTTTTACACACGCGGGTGTATAATTCTGTTACTATATGAGCTGAACAGCTCCTCTACAGTCTGGTGCAGGGGGTGAAAGGTGTTGTCCATGATGGATGTACAAGGGGCGTTCAATAAGTAATGCCCCTGACCCACTTCCAGATGTTCGATCGACCTGAAATTTTGCATATGAAATTATTTAAATCTCTATAGATTAAATAGCAAATCACAGCTCTGAGCTAATTGTGGTTTCTGATTTACAGGTGTTCCAACTGAGTCAGGTCTGTGTTTTTGCATATGAGAGGCGCACACAACGGGAGACTTTTCATCAAATGAAAGTAACTTATAGTGATAATGTCCCATAATATAACCTTGTAAAACATTTTGCAAGGTCATATAACGGGCATCATCACCATAAGTTACTTTAATTTAATCAAAAGTCTCCCTTGGTGTGAGTCCTTTCAAATAGAATAAGCGGATCACTGCTCAACACTCAACAGGCTGCATTTCAGACTTTACTCAGTTCAGACACCTGTAAGTCAGAAACCACAAATAGTTCAGAGGTGTAATTTGCTACTTAATCTATAGAGATTTAAATAACCTCACATTCAAAATTTCAGCTGGATCAAACATCTGGAAGTGGGTCAGGGGCATTACTTATTGAACGCCCCTCGTAAGCTTGGACAACACCCTCCTTGGACTCCCTCCTCATATAAGGAGCGATGGTGCTCTCATCCTCATCATTGCAGTTAGGAGATAAAAACAGGGACTTTTTAAACTGGTTAGACTGGTTTCTTTTCAGCAGAACAACCCCTGTTAGAAGGTTCTGCTGAGCTCAGTTATAGTTTACCATACAGAGGGTCTCCACCATGAAAATGTGTAGAAGAGGATGATGGTATTTTTTGGACCATCGGCTTTTGATGTTGTCAACCTTCATAGTTGCTATGATGGTCTTCATCAGGAGGCCTGGACATCTTTCTTCGCTGCTCACACTGATGATCAGATTTAGATGGAGATCCGACCCCATTCAGGGTGCTGCCGCCTCCTCTTCCATTTTCCCTGATGAATGTGTTTTATGTTTTCCAGATGACCTTTCCAGTAAGGCCAACATCGTCATCGATCCTGCAGAGATCCAAGCCGCTTCCATGGACGACCTGGATGAAGATGAGGAGAGCGGTGCTGCTCAGGTCTGGAGGATTAGCTCTGATTCAGGGGTGTGGCTTGAAACCAATTGACCCAACAGAACAATAGAGGCTGGTTTAGAACTATTAGATATACCAGCAAGCAGCAGATAGGGAGGAGAAGGACCCAACCTGTCCTGCTCTGTCCTCTCCTGACCACTTCTCCTCTGTTCTCCTCTCAGAGGCCTTTCGGAGCAGCAGCGATGGGCGGAGCTTTAGCCAGGCCCAGCTGGTTGAGTTCTCCCACTCTGGGCCGGGCCAACCGGTTCCTGAGCACGGCCGCGGTCAGCCTGATGACCCCCAGACGGCCGCTGTCTCAACCAGAGAAGGTCAAGGTCCGGACCTTGGCTGTGGAGCAGCGTACCGAGGAGGACAGTGAGTGATGCCTGGTCTCTGGACCCCTGGGGTTCTGCTGTTGTCTAGGTTTAACTTCCTTCTTCCTGTCTCCTCTCTGCCATGCAGTCGAAGGGAGCCACGGAAACGACGGCCTGTTGCTGGGGCGACCGCAGGAGGAGCCAGATCAGCCAATCACAGACAAGTCTCTGCTTGAGATCATCGACGGTATCGTGATGATGTACAACCTGAGCGTTCACCAACAGCTGGGGAAGGTCAGTCATGTGACTGCTGCTGTTACTGAAGCCGTGCCACCATGCAGCAGCAGCCATCTTGTTGCATTACTAATCTATTATAGAGGGCAGGAGTTTTACACAGAAATAAAGATTTGAGATGAAATGGATCTAATGAGGCTGTTAAAAGGAAATATCCTCCATATTTCTCTTCAATGATGTAGTATTCATTTAATCATCCTGGGTTGTATTACAGCATTATCTGCAGAGCCTATTCAATAAATAGATTATCCCCCTATGTCTGCTTCTTATCTTGTGCATTTGCACAGGATAACTGCAGCCTGATTGAATCACAAATAGAAGAAAATGATCCTTAACTCGCAGTGCAGTGATGTCATCCACCTGTGACCGGTCCTAATAATTGTGGGACTTTGCCGCCACATTTTTTACCTTCTGTCCACACGTTAATGCAACATCCTGCAATTGACTGCCTCAAATATTGAAAAGTAAGATAAAAATTAATCAATGGGTGCTTTTCTCAAATGTAAAGAGCAGAGCTCTACTTACTACCACAGAGTCCAGAAATGATCTAGAATAAGTCTATGATTGGTTTACATTTACAAACACTGATCAGCTGCAGCTCCATTAGAGGCTCCCGGTGCGGGATGTTGGGTCAGCCAGAAGGAATGTGCTCTCAAACAGCATCAGAACCTGCTGCTCCAGATCTGTCAGGATTAAACGTGTTCCTGTTCCTGGCAGATGGTGGTGGTGGCAGACGAAGTCCATGAATACGCCGTGGCTCTGAAGGACACGGAGGAGAAGATCGCTCGCTGTCCTGCTCGGGTGAGGACAGAATCGGAGCTTTTCTGCCTGCTGATGCTGCAGTTTTTTGTAGTTTTGCCTGCTGTCCTGCTCCTACAGGGGGCAGCAGAGAGCAACAGACGCAGAGCGGAGTCAAACATTAGATCTTCCAGTGTTGATGGGGAGGAACTCTGAGCTGGGTCAGAACCACAGTGACAGCCCACCAGAACACTTCTCTGACTGGATAGAGCCAATAATTAAAACTTTAGACATCTGAACCAACAAATCTAAGTTAAATTAAATGATAAAATAATGTTTTTTCTTTTAGTGCAGAATTTTTCCCCCCTCTTCAGCTTAATCACAGCAAAATTGTAGAAACTCGTTAAATAATCTGACATCATCACCTTCTTCTGCCTAACGAGGTGCAGTTCAGGTTCTCTTCAGGTTCTGATGTCAAATTTCCTCCTTTTAAATTAAATATGTTTTCTTTGGAGATAATTTTTTTGTTTCAGGCGCTGAAAGATCCAAGCAAATGTTTTTTTTAACAGAACCCTCCCTTTTTTCAGTAGAACATTAACATTGGTTTTGTTTGAAGTATTCTGTAGGTTCAGTTCTGATGGTTGTGTTTGAATCCAGCCGGTGACTCTGGGTTGTGTTTATTTCAGCGTGCTGACATCCTGGACGAGCTCCAGAAGAGTCAAAATGTTTTTGCAGAGAAGCTGAACCACCTGAGCCGCAGATTGGCCTGGATCAACGCCACCATCTACTCCAAGGTGCTTCACCGTCTGCAGAACATGCTGGTATGTATCTGACCCCTTTGAGATTCTAACTCCTGCCTGTGTTCAGGAGAAGATGCTGGACGTCTATTGGCTGCTTTGTGTTTGCATCCGGACCATCGAGCACGCCGACGCCACCGGTTCGTTGTTCGCCTTCACTCCAGAGTTCTACCTCAACGTGGCCATGAACGCATACAGCGCCCTCAAGAACTACTTCAGCCCTGCTAACGGCATGGAGGAGCTGCCAGGTAACTAATGGACTACAAAAAGATCTAGAAACAAGTAAAAATATCCTAAATTAAGTGTTTTTACCCTTAACTTGAGAAGGTAAGTAGGATTTTTTGCCAATGGAATGAGTATTTTTACTCTTAAAATAAGATAATTAGATAGTATGCAATTGAAATAGACAATGCAGTTGTTCTTATTTTAAATGTGAATTATATTTAAATGGTTCTATTGGCAAAGGGTCTCACATCCCTCCTAAATTAAAGAAAAACAATGCATTTATGTTAACAAAAATTACTCTTTTAGGTTTTTTTTCATGGGAATGCATCTTTCACTTTTTTTCAGCTTTCCAAAAAAAAAGAAAAAAGATCAGAAATAAATTGATACGTTGACGTCATGAACGGTGTCTGCTCCTATTTGATAACAAATTCCCTGTACTGTCAAAGGCAATATTTAATCATATATCTCACCTTAGTTGACTTTAGGCTTATAAGGCGTAGAAAAAGAGGAAATAGAGGACATCTGGGCTCAGAGGGTCAAACATTCATGCTCAGCTGCGTGAGATCCTGTCGACTGAAGATTCTCAGAAGCTGAGTGAAACCATCACTTTAATCACAGTTGGGGCTGCAACAAACCATTATTTAATTTAGATTAGCCGGTTGATTATTTTTTGATTAATTGTTGATTAAGATATAAAATTGCTTCCTCTCTTTTCCAAATTTGAGCTACTGGATGGATGAGCAAATGCTTTGAAAGTTAAATTTTGACTTTCATCCGATGTTTGGAGGGAGATATAGTTACAAAGTGCTCACAAACATTGTAGAGTTTACTTCATTTCCCAGACAACTGTACCATCTCTCTCTCTGTCACACAACGTTTAATTTTCTCCATCAGGCTATGAAGAAACGCTGACTCAGCTCGCCGCCATCCTCGCCAAGCACTTTGCGGACCCGCGCATCGTTGGAACAGGTAACAGGACACACCCAACAGGGTTGCCCAGCTTAGAGAGAGAGATTGATGACGACCAGGTATAGTTAGAGAATAAAGTTCCCTGAAATTAAATCAACAAATGGATTTGCTGCTTTTTAACCCCGTAACCTCAGGAGGTTTTTTATGATTTGCAATCATCACCAAAGTCCTCAGGTTTTCAACCCATTGATTCTGATCCAAGAACCCCTGAATGGGTAAAGGTCAAAGTTATTCATACACTGAATAAAGTTGGAGGTGGATTCATCTAAACACCCCTGCTCCCTGCAGACTTTATAGCAACATGAAGCCCTCACAATAATTGATTTCAAAACAAAGGTGCTATAGAATAAATAACCACAAGCATGCTTAGTGTGAGGGTTTGGCTTCGAATCATTGAGTCGATGCAATCAACTGGTTTTCCTTGGATAGAAAACTTTGAATCAATTTGACTGGATGATCTGGTGAACTGGAAAGTGCCTTGAGATGACGTGTTGTGAATTGGGGCTGTATAAATGAACTCAACTGAATTGAATTAAGATCACTTAGATCTAAGTGAGCACTTTCAAAAAAAAATAATAATGATAGCAACATTAGACCAGTTAGAATTGTTTACAGTCAGTTTTCTTGAGGTTTTGTTCAGATCAGTTGGGAGGCTACAGGTTTTGTTGTGACTCGGTTTGTTCGCTTCTTCAGAGGATTCTCTGTGACCAAAACTAGATGTTTATCAGCTGTAGCAACACGCTGATTGTTGTTTCTCAGGAAATCCATCGATCTGCCTGCAGCCGTCCAGCAGCTTCTTATTGGGACAATTAAAATGGGCGATGCGTTTAGGCTCCTCTGTAAAATCCTGGAAACACTTAGTTCTTAGCCTGTTTTAATCATCAGACTAAAATAAAAATATTCTCCTTTTACCTGACTTATTTATGAGGAAAAAAAATAATATTTTATTCTTAAAAGGAAGAAGAAGAAGGTTTCATTCTTGCTGTAGCTGCCACTCAGATGTTCACTAAAGCTAAGCTGTTATCCACACATCAGGGGGCGCTGCAGGGATAGATTGTTACTGTGGGGGGATTGTGATGTTTATCCGACTACTTAATGGTAGATCTCCTTCACTAAAGTGTCCCTGTTCCCTCAGATATCAAAGATTCCCTGATGCAGGCGTTGGCCAGCTACGTCTGTTACCCACAATCCCTCAGGGCGGTGGAGCGGATCCCAGAGGAGCAGTGAGTCTTGAGATTTATCTTAGTTAATCTGGGACCAGGATCAGAACCTGATGCGCTGATGTTGATCCAAAAGGCAAAATCCTTAATAGTTTAGCTGAGGAGGACCAAGATGGCATTTAATGAGGGAATCCTCCTCCCCTCATGTAAAACCACGACATTATGAAAACACTTCTAATGAAAATATAAAGGTACAGGTGTGCAGAAGGTTTTTTCTTTCTGGTTTCAGGCGAGTGGCCATGATGAGGAACCTTCTGGCTCCATATGAGCAGAGGCCCTGGGCTCAGACCAATTGGATCTTGGTCAGACTTTGGAGGGTGAGTACCAAAACACAAGCAAATTCTTATCTAACTAGGTAGATAGGAGCATCTGTCTGCTTTTGTATTACCAAGCCCAGATCTGAACTGGTGTTTTTATGGAAGAACTAGAACTCAGTGTCAGGTTCTCCTCAGGTGTTCCTCCTCTGCTGATGTCTCTAAACAGCTGCTCTTCCTCCTCTCCTGTCAGGGTTGTGGGTTTGGCTACAGGTACACCCGTCTGCCTCACCTGCTGAAGACCAAACCTGAGGACGCCAACCTGCCCAGCCTGCAGAGTAGGTTCTGGTGTGACTGTGTCTGCGCTATTTGTGGTTAACTAATCCAGAAGCAATGTCTGTGAGTAGGAACCAGAACTAGACGAAAATAAAGAGATAAACATGGTCAATTTTTCCTCCCGTTTGCCCTAAATCTGTCTCCCCTGGAACTTCATTTGGAGCCTGAGATTGCAGAAGCAGAGTTTAACCAATGAAATAATAATCAGCTGAAGATGCGATAAAACAGGAGGCCTCATCAGTCTGTCCGAGGAGATAAACATCAAAGGAAAGGCAGAAATCACTCATTCTCCACAGCATTAACTTCTTCTCTCGGCATGTTGGGGCATTTTTATGGTTTTTGAAGTTTGATCCAGTTTCTGCTCCTTTGATGGATTTCCATAAATAAAACTGTCCATCCGTCTCCGGCAGGTTTATTTTTACTGCAGCTCCGATTTACAGCTTCACTCATTCCCTGTGTGTGTGTGTGTGCGCGTGTGTGTGTGTGGGTGTGTGTGTGTGTGTGTGTGTTTCAGAGTCTCTGTGTTGTAGAGATGAAATAGTTTATTTCCGGAGGCAGAACAGAACCAGAGAAACATCAGGTTCCTCCAGTAAAAATTTTATTCTGGATTTCTCACATCTTAGATTTTATTTTTTGGCAGAATCATAGGTTCAGGTTCTGTTTCTGCTCCCCTACCCAGAATCCTTGGACCTCCCCCTTCTGTTCATTTTATGTTCTGTTTGAAGGAATCTGTCTCTTGTTTTCATGCATGCTCTCTGACCTCCATCCATGTCTTCTCTGCATGCCTGTCAGGAGATCTGTCCATTGCTAGCTTCCAGAGTAAGTTCTGTTGTTTTCTGCGTGCTGTTGGTGCTGTCCATCATGCTTAGTGCTGGCTCAGCAGTTAGTGCCTCTGCTGCATTTTCTGCAGCAGGAAGCATTTGCTTCCAACTGATCAATAATCACTGCTGCTCAGCTCCATGTTCTGTCATCCAAGGTGAGCTGACCCAGAGAAGGTCTTGTAATCGCACCAATCTTTCAATCATTCTGAGTCCCAGAAGAATTAATCTACACCATGAATGTTAGCGGTGCAGAAACGGGTGAGACAAACTGTCCAGACCTGGTGAAAAAAATCACCTGCAGGTTTATTACAGTCCGATCAGATGCATCTCTGCTTTTGATGTGCAGTCTGGATTAACATAACTGATCCAGTTAGATCAGGGGTTGGGAACCTAAACTGTTCAAAGAGTCATATTTGACCAAAAAAAGAAATCTTTCTGGAGATGCAAAAATGTAAGTCTTATATAATCCCCATATGGCAACACTGGCTCTATTAGCCCACTATTTAAAAAAAAAGATTATGTAAGCTTAAATATATAATAAGCATTCATGATTAAATGTTTATCCTGGAGCAAATGTCACATCATGGGAGTACTGTGCTGTATGATATCTAGTGATTTTTGTTTAAATTCCATTGCAATATTTATATATTAGTTTTCTTTTTGCATTCATGATATCATATAAACACAATAAAGAGATCAGATTGTTGGTGTTATTTTTATTTTGACGATTTGGGGGAAAAAAATGGAATAAAGTTCACACACCTGCATAAGAGCCCTACCTGTTCGATTATGCTTGCAACAAAACTAGCAGCTGTAGTGAAGTTTGCAGATGCAATCCACTTCTTAAATGTATCTTTGGTGCTCCTGTAATTTATCCAGAAGTTCTGCAATTGCAATTTTTCTCTCAATCCCAGCTTGGTGGTTGGTTGCAAATTTAACATGCCTTCCCTGGAAATGCCTTTCTAAATTACTCTTTTTATTACTTGACAACTTCTTGTTACAAAGCAAACATGCAGGCAATCCCTCCTCACTGGTAAAGAAAGCAAAAAAGATTGTTCTCATCAGCTATCTTCCTTTTTTGCCAGTTTGTTTACAACAGCCACCTGCCTGACACTGTGTTGCAGGCTATGGCGCAAATCTTCACTGAGAGAAAGTTTTAGTTTTATTATATTTTTTATTTTTGAAAAAAGCTCCAGGGAGCTGGCGGGCATTAGAGAGCTGTATGCAGCTCTGGGGCCGCTGGTTGCCGACCCCTGGGTTAGATGAAATGATTAAAACCTGAATATATGAGGCTTCTGTTCTGATGGTGATGAGAATGGAAATCAGTTTTCTTAGGTTTAGAATGTCCAGATAAGATCTAGATTGTGAGCTGATTTCTGATGACGCTCGGAGCCGTAGGTCTAAAGAACGACTCTGGTGTGGTGATGATGATGATGGATCTTCATAGCTGGAGTTCTTCCTCTGGTTTCTGTCTTTGTGATCAATCATGAGCTTTAATGAACGTGATGCCACCAGGTTGTTTGACCTCAGTAGACCCAAAACCCAGTAGAACCCATTAGAACATCTTTAGGAGGCTGTTCTTTGTCTGTCCCTCTGAGACCCCTCTCTGATTGTGCTTCCTTTCCTGGTTCCGGTCCAGAACCGTGCCCGTCGTTGCTGCTGCAGAGACACATGGCGGAGCTACTGAGCATGGACAAAGACATGGCCGCCTCTTTTCTCAACAGCGTCCTGAACCAGCTCAACTGGGCCTTCTCTGAGTTCATCGGTATGATCCAGGAGGTAAGCTTGGAGCAGAACCAGAACCAGTAGTGGGATCACAATAAGAGCCAACGACATCCCTTAGTGTTGAGCTGAGAACAATAACAGAACAATAACACCACAGGCTGAGGAAGGGTTCTGTAAATTCAGTCCAGTTGGTCCGGTTCTGATGTGAAAGTAAAATACCAGATCTGATGAGTTCTTCCTTCTGTTTGGTTCTGGTCCAGATCCAGCAGGCTGCAGAGCGTCCAGAGAGAAACTATGTGGACACTCGTCAGCTGAAGGTAATCACACCAACTGCTGCTTCAGAGAGCTTCGGTTTGGGTTCTGGTTCTGTGTGTAGACGTAACCGTGTGCCAAAGTTCTGATCCGGGATGTGAATCTGGGCTCAGGTGTGTGCAACCTGCTTCGACCTGTCTGTCAGCCTGCTGAGGGTTCTGGAGATGACGGTCACCTTGGTCCCAGAGATCTTCCTGGACTGGTCCCGCCCGTCAGCAGAGCTGCTTTTGAGACGGCTTGCTCAGGTGAGACCCGGTCCGTCCAGACTTGCACGGACGTTCTGGAGAAATATCCATCAGAACCAGGTTGTTTAAGCTGTGCTGTGTTGTTCCGGTTCTGTTCTGTCTGCAGCTGTTGAACCAGGTTCTGAATAGAGTGACGGCTGAGAAGAACCTGTTTGATCGGGTCGTTAACCTCAGGCTGCCAGGTAAACCCGCCTCCCCCTGCTGCACACTGCTGCTCAGCTTTTAGGGCATCGCTGAACCGAACAGAACCAACAGTTAGGTTCTGATTGGAGGTCTCTCCGTCAGTTGGTTTAAATCTCTTGCTCTAATCATTTGACTCTTTGCCAGTTTCTGAGTAAACGCCAAACAGGATGGCTGTTTCACCTTTTTATTTTAGCGCTCTGACCTCCTTCCGGTGGAAGGTTCCCTGTTCATCTAAATGCTTGTTTGTTTATGTACATTTACTTCTGTTTGACCGTATCCAGGCGGTATTTGACCCATGGCAGGGTTCCCACCAGTTAATGTTCCGCACACTGTTGTCAAAAGTTAATCTGTATTTACAGGGGAACACTTTTTTTTTTACATTAGCCCCTTGATTTTACGTTATTACATCATGCTCTAGTCACCCATATTAGTTCTGTAATTTGGAGCCGTTCTGAAGATATTCTGTTATATCCAAGTAACGTCTTCCTATGGGCAATGACTTGAAGGCACAAACTAAACAGTTCATAATTTATTCTTTATGGTACGCCAGCATTCAAACATGTAGGCGAATCACTGTCCCCCAGAGATCCACGGTTATATTTTTTATATTTAGATATTTTTTTTAACAAAGCGGAGTGTGTATGACGTCATCCATGTGCTGGACTGGAGTCCGGGCCACAGGCGGCTACGCGCTACCCCTTCTATTCATTCGGCGAGCTAATCTGAATCGTTCCATTTGGAGAGCGAGATCATCTGTGGTAGCAGCACTAGACATCTTCCAGGCATGTGAGTAAAACTAGCAGCAGTTCAGCAGACAGGATGAATGAATGGTAGCTGGCGCGTACGGATACATATCGTATCATATATGATAACGTATCAGGACATTTTTTGTAGTGCAACACTGATTCCATTACTCACCTCATTATTTGAACCTCCGGTAAGCGCTATAAAAACGTATTTCATTGACAGTTAGTCATACTTTTTTAGGTCTGGGGATTTAGGTGTGCTTCATAGTTTGTAACTGACTCAAACTTGAGTTGAGTCACTTGTATGCATGGAACCGTATACTCCCACCATTACACAGAGTGTGCAACCTTTGAAGTCAGAGGTAGAGTGGCTGTAGAGTCAGAAACATCCAAACTGGCCAATGGTCAGAGTTGGCTCCACTTGCAGAGTTAAGGTGTGCTTTGGCAGAGCTTGGAGCAGCAGACGGGAGCCTCCATCTGCTGCTGCCTCCACCCTGACCTGGACTCGGTTGGTCTAGATGTTCCTCAGTTATGCTGTTACTGTGCTGACATCCTCTCTATTTGTTGCAGGTCTGGAGAGTGTGGACCACTACCCGATCCTGGTGGCAGTGACAGGAATCCTGGTCCGGATCCTGGTGGATGGAGACAAACAGGGGTAGGTCTGGAACTCCATTATCAGTAACTGTTAGAACCAGATTCAAAGAGCTGGGATGGTGACAGAGTGGAGGAAAGCAACTAATCAGCTGGTTTGGTGCTGGCGATGATCTGTCTGTCAGTGAATACATGGTGTGAAGATGGATCCGAGCTTTAGTTAGGGGAGTGGCAGCATGGTGGTTAGAGCATAGAGCTTGGAATCCTGAGGTTCTGAGTTCGAGCCCCACTCCCACAGACTGCCACTCTGGGTCCCTGAGCAAAGACCCTTAACCCAACACTGCTCCTCGGGCGCCGCACAATGGCAGCCCACTGCTCCCCAAGAGATTGGGTTAAATGCAGAGAGTTAATTTCATTGCTCTGTACTTGTGACGGTGTTATGACAATAAAAAAAAAGGTAGTTCTTTAGTTCTGTTCGGTTTTCATGTTTGTGAGTTTCGAGCTCATGGTTTTTGTCTGAGGGCTGCTCAGTGCCGCAGTGGGTAGCATTGCTGCCCTGCAGCAAAAAAGTTCTGGGTTTGATCCCCTGCCTGGGAGTTTGCATGTTCTCTGTGGTTTTACTCCAGGTACTCCAGCTTCCTCCCACAGTCCAAAAACATGACTGTTAGGTTAATTGGCTTCTCTAAATCCTCCTTAGGTGTGAGTGTGTGTGAATGGTTGTTTGTCCTTTTTGTCTCTTTATTGCCCTGCGATAGACTGGCGGCCTGTCCAGGGTTTACCCCGCCTCTTGCACATAGACTGCTTGAGTTAGGCTCCAACACCCCTTGTGACCCCAGCTGGGATAAAGCGTGACAGAAAAATGGATGGAATGGATGGGTTTTTAACTGACAGAACCTCTGCAGAATGTGGTTCCACCTCTTGTTGGACTTTGGACCGAACCCTTCCTCATGTCATGGAGACTTAGTTTTTAGACTGAGCTCCATCTCTGCTGTTTAATGTTCACCACAAGCTGAAAACCTGAGTCACTGGTTGCTTTGGAAATTCTCTCTATTTGTTCAGTCGTTGAGGGGCAGTAGCAGAGAAAACGGTGTTAAAGCAGGTCTGGATCTGTCAGCCTTATGTACGTGCTTCTGTGTCTGCAGTGATTTCTTTGAGTCCTGACAGGTTAAACAGAATCTTCAGGTCCATTTTCTCCAGAATCAATCAGAGGTGAAATGTATTTGGAGTGAATGAGAGTGTGGGTGTGTCTCTCTGAAATCTGGGCTCTGATTGGTCAGAAATCTGGGAGTCTTCTATTAAAGGCTGTTTCTGACTATTTTACCAGGTCGAAACCATTATTATCACAAAACTCCATAGTTTTTTTGGGGGAAAATCTGTAAAACAAAACAGCCAATCTAAACTGTGATTGATGAAAATCTGGAAAATGGATCAGAAGGATAACTGGGTCAGGTACAGTCCTACTTTCTTTGACCTTCATTGACTTGAAATTATGTTTCTGGTGTAAATGATGGCTGTGATGTAGAGTTTTTAGATCTCTTCTATAAATCCGGTGTTATAAGGACTGATGTTTCTTTTGATCCGACCCGAATAACAACAAGTGAAATGTCCTTCAGGAATACAAACAAATATAAAGTTGAATTTGCTCAGCATAGAGCTCAGTAGGATGTTTCCTAAAACCAAGCCAACAGCAGTGGGACTGCTTCCGATCTGTGCTCAGTCAGCAGAGCTCATCAGTATCAACAGAGTCTTTCAGCAACACTTCATTTAGCTGTAATTATCACGTCTCTTCCTGCAGCCACTGAGGCCCAACGCTTCAACAGCCCATTACACCATGAAGGTCTGCTGAAGGTTCAGGAGCAGAGGGATAATCTGGATAATCTGGTTAGAATAAGTCATTGTTGCTCTGGTTCTGCAGAAACCGCCCGTAAAGGATGCTCTCATACTTCCTCTCTATCTCTATTTAGTTTAGACTTTCAACCAGCACTGTGGATTATACATATCTTGTCATTTAACATTTAGCTTTAGATTCTCGCTGAAAATCAGCATGACGACCTTAAAGATCCCAAAATACACTGCCCCTTGTCTTTACACATCCCCAGTCTGTCTGCAGTGCCCCGGTCACTAAACTGGACAGTTGGAGTCCTTCCAGCTGTCCCAGCATTTTGTGCACAATCAGAACCTGAACACCTCACACATGAATTATTGTTATATCCTACCAAACATTTTGTCCTTGCTGTCTTTGCCGTTGCATGATTGCACATGCTGACACAGCGACGATGACAATGAGAGGAGAAGTCGTTGCAGCTGTTTCATATTTACAGAGGTGCCCTTAAACACACCTCAGTGACTCACTGGGGCTCCATCAGAGGGCTCCTCTACACCGACCTACTCGGGCTGAGGCTCTAAAGTATTACTGTCGGGTCTCTGCTTAAAAATAGTTTGTCTTTTTCTGGCTCTGAGCAGAACCGACCTAAACTCCATTTGACAGATGGAGAAATAACTTCATCAATCATCAGAACCAAAGTGAGACTCTGGGCTGTTAGTTGTGGATGGATCACTTATCTGTGATGACTGCAGGAGCCAAACTCATGTGATGTCTGTGTGGAAAAAGGTGAATTAGACCAGGAAACATTGGTAAAGTGCTCTCTGGATGTGGGTTTCTCAATCTGTGTGAATTGTAGCAGACTCCACCCTGCAAACCGTGAGAAAAAGTGGCTGACTAGCTCAGGTGGTAAGTCACCCGTCCTGCAAACAGGAAGCCTGGATTTGTACCCCAGCTGGGGGCAATGAACTGCCAGTGTAGGTCCTTAGGCAAGACCCTTCACGCTAATGCCTGCTTTGGGGAGTGGCGGCCTAGTGGTTAGAGCATAGAGCTTGGGATCCTGACGTTCTGAGTTCAAGCCCCACTCCCACAGACTGCCACTCTGGGTCCCTTACCAAGACCCTTAAACCCACACTGCTCCCCGGGCGCCACGCAATGGCAGCCCACTGTTCCCCAAGGGGATGGGTTAAATGCAGAGAGTTCATTTCGTTGGTCTCTACTTGTGACAGTGCAACGACAATAAAAGCTAGGAAAAAAATTTGAAGGTTTCAGGTCGGCTCTGCATTTAATATCAAGACAGCCGTCCTGTCCTCCATCCAGGAATAGTGCAGTGATAGGGAGGGACTGGAAATGCATCTAACATCTCTGTAGACCCCACGCATCCTGGCCAGAGGCTGGTAAGACCTTTGCCTGCATGGAGGTTCTAGAGAGCGTCAGACAAAGTGACACAGGACCCACGTCCAAACTGTACCTTACTGTCTTCCTCTTTGGTAGAAACATATTTATATATGTTTAAATGATTATTAATTAATATAAATTAAAAGCTTGAACTTGTAAAAAGACAGAGAACGAATTTGCACTTTAGGGTCTAAAGAAAGTTCTAGGTAGAGCCTATTTTCAGAGGTTATATGTATTTGTTCTAGACGTGTGTTTATCCCATGCAGACGTGTAGGCAGTAGAAGACTGATGGCTGTCAGCTCTGACTCACTGTTGATTCTATCAGCTTCATGTCTGCAGCTCTGACAGCCAGCAGCTCCAGTCTGAGTGTTTCTCTAAATGTCAGACTGCTCCTTTAAGGTGCTGATGTGTTTAGGGAGGAGATCTGATCCCATTATGAAGCCAGCTTTCAGTGCGTTGGAGAGCTGGAGGTCAGCCGGGGTTAAAGTCTTCAGCTGTCAGTAAAACATCGCCTCTGTTGAACTCTGAGGAGCTACAATCTGATGTCCATCTTCTTCACTGCTCTCTGCCATCAGTCTGTCTGCTCATGTTTAAAATGTTTCACCAAACCTGGTGGAAACGGTTCCTTCTCATCAGGTGCTGAACTTCAACCCATCCCAGCAGTTCTGTTTGATTTTAATGCTACACATGTTTTTGCAATGATGCCTAGGATCCGTTTCAGAACCTCTTGTCTTGGAGAATGAGCTCTTCTTAGCCCAGCTGGTATTTTGTAGGTTAGATCTGGTGTGAGTGTGGCTAGCATTGAAGCATTAGGATTGGTCATGAAGAGCTTCCCCTGAACGCGGCCACAAGGCATCTGTGATCGCTTGTCAGTCAGGCTGGTTTCCCCAGTTGCTTCCCTGAAGCGTTGGTCACTGGAGGTTTCTCTAAATTCCCAAGCTAGTTTATTTTTCACGCTTGATGCTTTAACTCCACGTCAATTTGGAGTGGAGCGAATGTTCCAGGCAGGAAGTCAGTTGATGAAAAGCAAAGTAGATCCGTTGGACTTTCAAAGTTAAACACTACATGCATTTTAGTCTGAAACCCAAATTGAGTTGAGCTGCGGGTCCAGGGCAGAGCCACCAGAGAATCTCCCTTCATAGGACACCATAAACCACAAAATTTTTATTCTGGAGGTGGAAAATTTTACAAAGGAAAAGGCAAAGGCCTTTTTATTGTCAAAGCCTGAATCGGAGGTCTTCAACAGGGGTCTGCGACCCCTAGGGGGTCCACGTTGGTACTGTATGGGGGTCACAAAGGTTTTGGATGATTATCCTTTTTTTTAATATTCCCCCCTGGAATTTTTTCAATTAATGAAATGTCTTTAAATTCCCATTAACATGAATTCAATGCACTGAAGTAAACAGATAAATGGAGGCAGAAGATGTCTTTCAGTCATCAATGCACACATTCAGCGACACACAGGAGCTCTTTGAAGCTGGGCACCGTTTCATTCACAACACCTGTCCCACCAACCAGGAATCAGAATCAGAAATACTTTAATAATCTCAGGGCGAAATTACTTTCATTACATGAAACAATCTGTAATAGAGTGACTATAGGACCAGTTTGATATAACACATTTTCATACAATATATATAATCAGGGGGTCCCCGCTTCATCTCTCCCATCAGTTTAAGGGTCCTTGGCCTGGAAAACGTTGAAGACCCCTGGCCTAAATGTATACTACTACCAACTCCTTGTGTAATCAGTCAAGCCGCTCCGAGGCCCTTGAATAGATTGCTCTGCAGAAACGGCGGCCCGTTCAGTGGAACGTCGGGGTTGAATGTACAGCTGCTTCAACCAGGATGTCACCAGAAAAGAACGCTGCTCCAAACCCTTCCTCACTCTACAGAATCCAGAACCTGGACAGATCTGCTTATGGAGGTCACGTTTAGAGAGAAGGAGCACCAAGTGGTTCAGTCAAACAGAACTTCGGTTGGAGAGAAGCAGAAAGGATCATTAAAGTTTCATTAAAGCTGCAGAAGTCAGTTTTTAAATGAAAGAGTTTCTCCTTCCATCAGCTGTCTTCCTTTGCTGTCTGATCCGACAGGCTTCTTTCCAGATTGACTTGATATTCAGAGTGGATTCATCTGTCTGACTCTGTCCTCATCAGGACTGATAACAGAGCCCCCCACCCCTGCTGTGAGACAAATCAATGGAGCTAATTATGATCCATCAGCTGCGGCTCGGAGAGCTGAGAGCTGCTCACCACCTCCCACAGATCAGATTCGGCTCCGGGATAATTAGTTTAGCAGCTTCACAGAATCAGAAGCCACTTTCACAGCAGGTTGGCTTTTTCCATCACAGCCACGTTGTTTTCAGGACGTAGACCCATCCCGCTGTGGAGGACCTCTGGATCCTGCTGACGGGATCTGAGTCAGAACTGCAGGAGGATCACCACCTGGTCCTGATACTAAAGTAAAGTTATACTTTAAGATGACTGGATGCTGGTTAAGGTTCTTTTAGAACTCCTCTTCTGGTTCTGCTGAACTGTAGTCCCTGACATGAATGACCAGAGCTGTTACTGTGTCCTGAGGTTTAAAAAAGGTTCAGGTTCTGGACCTCTAAAACGGTTCTAGTGCTGTAGAACAGCTGAGGGAACAGCGTTGCACACTGCCTGTCAGCTGGATTTAAGCCCGGCACAAACGGTGCGATTTTTGTTCGTATTTGAGGCCATTTTTCCAGTCGTGCGACAAGTTTGGGGCGACTCTTGCTCAAATCGTTTCTGACCTGATCAGAAATTTGCTGCCGCAAGAAAACATAACCTGTGTTTTTTTTTTTTTTTTGTTCATCTTGTGAGTGAATAAGACATCAACAAGAATCACACATCCCTCTAAAGGCCAACAAATGCTTCAACAACTACCTAACATATATAATTCAAATTTGGAGATAGGAGGCTTGTGATTGGCTGAAACGTGTGTAGGTTTTACCTAGTGACAAATCAAATGTGTGTTTTTATGTTACTGACCCTTTGGAGACTCCTGGTACCTCCAGATGGATGTTTGTAGACCACCATGTTAGAATTAAATCTTAAAACTCCTCTCTGTTTCTACCGGATCCTGCGGCTCTACACTGCAGGTTCCAGAACCTTCAGAATCCTGTTTATGCTCCAGTTTAGAACACAGATCACTGTTAAATATCCCTGACATGTCCCTCTGCAACATGTCTTTATAATAGCTTGCCCGTTGTCATGACAACGTAGTCATGTGACTTTTTAATCATTGGTAAATGTCTCTATGGCTGTTCTCGGCAGGTCCGACCCGGAAAGAATCCGACACATTTCCCCGTTTTTTTTTTTTTTTTTTGTCTCATCTCAACTTGTTTATTAGGAGAGATCATCATGCTCGTATTTCAGCGGAACCTTTTATAACCTGGACCATTTTAAACCAGCTGGTGACTCATCAAATCTGAACTTGTTCTCCCAGCATGCACTGCTCTCACCATTATACTCCCCAGAACCCCCTAGTGCCTGCTCTGACTCTGTGATGGTGCTGCCATCATGCAAACTGTGATGAAGACTCCGAGGTCCGTCTGTCCTGTTGCTCCTCCTTCATCAGACCATCAGGATCATCTTCTGCTCCTCTCCGTGGGTCGGTCAGGCATTGTGGGGAACGTGTCTGTGTGATTTTTCCCACATGCATGACGGTCAGCCGTCCTCTTCAGGGATCAGTTTCAGGAAACCATGCAGAGCAAAGGTCCGAAGATCAGGCTGGAGGAAGAGGAGGAGGAGGAGATGGGAAGAGGAAGGCTCAGGGGAGGAGAGGCTCAGATGGCTGGGAAGAGTAGGGAGGGAGGGAGGAATAGGGGTGAGACGGATAGACCTGAGGAGGAGGTCGGGATGAAAGCAGGAAAGGTAGAGAGGAACAAACAGGAAAGAGAGGATGTTTAACTTCGGACCCAAACTCATCTCAGCTCGTCTGGTTTCTGGAGTTCTCTTGAGAAGTTCTTTACTTAGCTAACATAAATCTAATGTTCCTCTGAATTTTTCATGTACTTGGAGCCTTTTTCTGCTGTGAATGTTTCAGTTCAGTACCAGAATCTTCTCTGTGTTCTTAGAACATCCCAGTCTATTGCTCTTCTTAGGATGCAGGGTTCCTTGTTCCACATTATATGGTTCTGCAGACCCATAAACCCTGGAAGCCAGAGGTTTGCAGCCAGTGGTCCGATGCTTTCTCCTGTCAGATGGAGCTTCAGCGCTTTAAGGATGTGTTGTTCTGGAAGAGGTTCTGCGTGGGTGGGACCTTCCCTATTCTCTGTCTGAAGCTGATGAATGATTTAGAGGATCTATCCTCAGCTCCTCACGCAGAAGCTGCCATCAATGTTTGATGGTGCTTGTTTCAGTGGAGCTTCTGGGAGATTCTCCCTGATGGAGCAGCTTCTTCTAACCTTCTGATGTTAGCAGGGAAACGCTGGCTGACCTGCAGGAGCAGCTGCTCCTCAATGGCTCCTGCTCCAGATGTTGAATCTGACCTGTCTGCCTGAGCTGAAGTCCCTCTGCTCACTACCTTACAGATATTCTCTTCTAAAATGTTAAAACTTTCAGTCTCAGTTTGTCTGATTTGTCTCCAAACCTTCACAATAAAAGCCTCTAATTGGTCCCTGGTCTCTGATCACCCTACAGCTTCTGATGGGACCAGTTTGACTTCAGAAGTGAAGCTTTAACTTCCTAAGATGTTTTAGTTTCCATCTGCAGCTCTAAAGAAAAGCGAGCAGAGATGATATTCCTACTGTTTGTTCTGTGCTGTCGCTCTGACATTAATTATGACACTCTTCATGTCCTGTTATTGTTCTCCTGAACTCTCTCCCAGCTCATATGCCTCAGACATTAAGCAGCCTCTCTTTAAATCTTTAAAGCATCTCCTAAGCTGCTGGAGGATGATCAGGAGGGAAATGTTCTGGGATTGAATCACAGATCAGCCTGAACTTTTTTTACCTGCCATTTCTGCTGTGATTGGAGGTTTTCTGTGACCAATCCCTGAAGAGCATTAGCTCTGATTGAACTCAAGGATGTCTACATGCAGGTTGCCGTGACAACGCAGCAGCTCTGTCAGGTCTATACAAAGTGAGATAGAATGAGGTGGAGCTTATTATCTGTGCACTTCCTGTTTCCTGTCTGCAGGTCAGAGAAATGATGATTGAGTTGATCCAACCTGCAGAGCCAGATGTTGAAACCATAGGTGTGCGCTTTAGGTTCCCTGGGTTAAAGCCATGTTCTCCTCATCCGTCTTAATGTCCTCGGTTTGCTCCGAGCAGAAGAAAAGTCTCATCAATATTTCATTACTGCTTCTGTCTTTCCTCTTCTTGCCTCAGCTGCTCAGCTGGGATGTTAACATGGTGTAGAAAGGTTGTAGATAACTCTAACCTGGTATCTGCTGAGGTGTTCCCTCGTCACAAAGCATCAGGCGGGTTCAGAGCATGCAGACATTAAACAGACTGTAAATGTTTGTCAGTAGCGGAGAAGTTTCTATCCTGCTGGAGGTTCCATGTCCGTTGCAGAGACTGCAGGATCTCAAGATGATGAACAGGGAATGAAAGTTTCTTGTCTCATCCTCTCCATCATGTTGCAGGTTCTTACGTTGGCGCTCTGTCCTCTGCTCTGCGGCTGGACAACTAGCCTGTTGTCCTTCCTCCTTCCAGGATCTTCTGGTCTCTTTAATTTCTGAGACTCACAGCCTGTTTAAAAGGGCATTTCAAAATAAAAGTAATAAACTGCAACTCTAGAAAATTATTCTGAACAGAAATATATCATTAAAAAATAAAAGCCCCCCCAAAAAAGAAAAAAAATACATATAAATAACTTCAAATGTATTCAGTCTACTGATCTATTTCTGTTTTTATATTCAAATGGAAGCAACCATTAGCTTTAACGTAGAAATATTTATACTGAAGTGGAGCTGTAGCTCAGTCAGAACAAGCATTGTTTCTACAGGAAACGGTTTTAATTAACTCACATCATCATCTACTTAATTCTCCCATCAACGCGGATTGAAGGTTTGCATTTTAAACTTGCTCATTTTGATCCTCCTGCCTCCGTTTCCCTGCAGACTCTTGCAGAATCAGGCCGTTGTGAGCAGCCTGACAGAGTGGAAGTGTAAACATGGGTGTGAATCCTGTTCAAGGCTGAAATGTGTGGGAGCAGCAGGAGACAGGATGGTTGTTTTCCACCTGCTCCTCCAGGTTGAACATGCAGGATGTGACTGTGCAGACACACACTGGCACACAGTAACCAGGCAGGTTGCATATGGAGGTTTATTAACACAGGTAGAGACAAGACAAGGTGCTCTGGATGCAGTGAGACCATAAAGACAAAGAAACGCCTCGCTTTAATGTGAGCGGAGTGGAGAAGAGAACCTTTGGATATTCCAAATGGTTTCAGCTGGTTTCTAAATGGAATCTGTTTCCTACAGGCAGATAAACAGCCAATCGTTTTTCACACTTATTTACTAACGTCTCTGACTTGAAGACAGTTTAGTCTCAGAGGAGCAGAAACATTTAACCACACGAAGGCTCAATAAACACTAATAGGAAGCTACAGAACTCTAAAAAAAATATTTCTAACGGAGATTCGAAGGCATCGGTTCTGTTAAAGGGACAAGCCGTGCTTAAAGGGACGTGTTTAGCAGCGGTTCATGCAGCCCCCCGCCCTGGAGTTCGGTTTAAAGGGGGCCTCTCTGTCTTTGGTCTGAACTCTGGCGGTTCTGTGGGTCTGAGCCCGACCCGTCACAGTGCAGCGGTTCTGGGGCTCAGTGGGCAGACCTGAGCTAACAGTAATCTGGATCAGAATTGCACTTGGAGCGAGTTGAGGGGGGGCAGTGCTCAGGTCTGCAGTGCGTGGCGGTGAGGGGTGAGGTGGGGGAGGTGTTGGTGGGGAGGGGGTGAGGGCACTACCAGTTCCGAGGTGAGTGTTGTCGCTATGGCAACATTATGGGTGTGTCTGGGAAGACTGACACGTAAGAGTTTGTCTCCGCGGCTCGCTGCTGTGGCTCCGCCCCCAGCAGGAAGCCCGCCCCGCCCCTCAGCCTGCCGTTCTGCTGCTCCCTGATTGGCTCCAGGAACCCCACACGCTTGTTGGTACTGACCTTGCGACCCGGGCCCTCCGTGGTGGTCGGCGGGGTCGGGGTGAGGATGGAGGACTGGGCGCTGCCCGCCCCGCCCTCTTTGCTCTGACTCAGGGTGGCGGTGACCGGGGGGCGGGGCCTGAGGCAGGGGGGGCAGCGGCAGGGTGTGAGGTACAGGTAGATGAGGACCAGCAGCAGGCTGACTACGCAGCCCAGCAGGGTGGTGAAGCCCGTGTTGAACGGCTCTGCGGCCTCGTCGTCGTGGCGCGGCAGCACCGTCACGTTGACCTCCCTGGACTCATTCCGCTGGCCGTTTTGAGCCATGCACACGTAGATCCCTGCGTCCTCCATTTGGGCTGCCACGACCTCCAGGCTGCCGTTTTTGAACATCTTGATTGATTTATTGTTCCCAGGTGGATCCACATACTCCAGGTCTGGAACGATCCAGAAAAATGTGACGCTGTTCCCAGACAGAGATGTGATGCAGTGTAGCAGCAGCGGCGCCCCCAACCTCACCTCCACATCGGCCTCCTGCTCTATCGCAGCTGTCGGGTTGCATTTATCAAAGTAGCGACTGTGCAGGAACCGTATCCCACTTCGTTGGATGCCGTGGACCAGACAGACATGTTCTTGTTTGAAGAACCGGACAGAGGCAAAGTCTTTCTCTTCCCACAACCTGAACAGGGAGTACATGGAGCAGTCGCACACCAGCGAGTTGTTGTGCAGATAGAGTCCCTTCTGCAGAGATGTGGGCAGGTTGTTGATGTCCACCAGAGGCAGCTTGGGCAGCCGGTTGGAGGACAGGTCCAGCAGGGACAGCTGGGGATGGCTGCTCCCCTGGATGCTGAAGAAAGGGAAGTCTGTGAGGCGGTTGTGACTTAAATAGGCCTTTTGGAGGTTTTCGAGTCCGGACAAGGCTGTGCTCTCCACAAGCATGATCCGGTTATTAAACAGCAGCAGTTCCTCCAGTCCAGGCAGATCCTGGAAGTAGTCCTGCTTTAGGGTTTGCAGCTGATTGCTTGACAGGTCTAGGTGTCTGAGTAGACCTCCAGAGGAGTTCCTGAATGCTCCGGGTTGGATTGTGGTCAGCTGGTTGTGTGCTAAACGTAACACCTCCAGCTGAAGAAGACCCTGGAAGCTGTCCTCCTCCAGCTGCAGGATCTGGTTGTGGTTCAGGTCCAGAGTGACCGTAGAAATGGGAATTGCTCCCGGGACCGTATCCAGACCCTGGTCTGAGCAGCTCAGTATGTCTGAGGTGCAGAGGCAGCGGGACGGGCAGGCGCCGGGTCGGACAGGATTAAACTGCAGATAGACCATCAGTACGGCCACAGACCATGGAGACGACATCGCCCCCTGCAGGGAACCGATGTAACTAGCAGCAGCAAGCATGATACCACCAGCGGGATGGTGTGAACCTCCAGCAAATGTCTGTCAAACTTCAGAAAGAATCAGAGCTGTTCACATCCTTCGCGTCCTGTGGTTCATCTCATCTTGATTCAATGTTTTAAGAACCTCAGATGGAGACGTCAGACTATAGCTGGTCTCTCATTCTCACTCTTAAGACAATTTGACTCAATGAAGAGCTTTCAGGAGCTGTAACTCTGCTCACCAACCGTGTTGATGTTGGATGAGGTGTTGCGTCCGCCTGCTGTCCATCAGCGAAGGAGACGGATCAGCTCAGAACCCAGCGGCCCGCTCAGTGCGCCCTGAAGAAAGCAGATTTAAGGAGAGGAGATGAGTTCCTCCTGATTCTCAGCTCATCTTTAAACAGCCAACACATCCTTGTTTGAGGAACTTTACCTGCTGATGGTCCAGTTTGACTCCCCTCCAGTAGATATTTAGCTTCAGCCCGTCCCGTCTTGTTGTGGACCCAGCCTGAGTGAAAGCCCGGCTGCTGCTCTCAGAGGAATCAGCAGCATCCACTCCGCCTGGCTTCACGCTGCAGCTGATTTAATGTGTCGATGCTGCTCTCTCTGCTGCTGCTGCTGCTGCTCAGAGCTGATTCAGAAACCTGGAGGAGAGAAGCGCCTCCGCTGCTCAGTACCACCTCAGACAGGCAGAGAGTAAAGTTCCTGGAGCTCCGGTTCTGTTCTGGTCCTGATGTCAGCAGCAGATTGTCTGATATCTGAGACCCTGCTCTGAGTGTTTGCTGCCGCTGCTTCCTCCGTCTATTTCTGCTCATTTGTGCGCTCCGTCTGCCTCTTCTGGTGCTTTCCCAGCTCCTCCTCTCCTCTCCTCTGCTCCTACTTCACCCCCACCTCCTCCTCCTCCTCCTCCTCCCTGCGTTCACTGCTCTGCTCACTGTCTGTTTGCCTCCTGCTCTCACTTTGTTTTCACCCCTCGGATGGCTTATGCTGCCACAGAAGGAGCCATGCGAGGCGGATTTCACAGCCCATCTGATTGGCTGCGAAGACGTGCACATCTGAGCAGCAGCTCAAAGCCAAGTGAAAAACCTTCAGGAAACATTTGGGAAACAGTGCATAGTCCAGGCTGCATCTCCTTTAGTAAGGTCACAATACATCCTAGAGAAATGGGACACTCATTTGACGAGCTTCTCCCTGCTTCCTGCTAAACACCATCTGCCTCCATGCTGTAGAATCGTTTTAACAAAGTGTCATTGAATATAAAAGCTCCTAATGCATTTAAATGCATGAAGATCTATGAGATTATACTAACTCTAAACAACAACTGCTGGTTTGATTACAATAGTGAAATAGAGCGACTATATGACGTCAAATTCGAGAGGAACTGATGCAGTTTCCTGCTGTTTTGGTGGAGTTGATCATAAATGATAAACAGAAAACATAAACAGTCTACATTAACAATTCTCAAATGTTTAACTTTAAAATGTGTATTTTGTTTAGTTTTTTCCACACCAAATGTTCTAAATTTTCCCCCTTATTTGGTTTCATAAACTGAATTTGATCCTCTTCAAAAAAAAGAAATTGCAATGATCCGTTCTGGAAGTGACCTGATATCAAAGCGTGGTTGAAAATACAAACATGAAACATGCTTGTAAAACAGTTGGCAGGCCTTTTCCCTGTATAAAGTGAAAGTATTTCCCACAAAAAGGCTCAAAGGATACCCAATGAACATGTTTATAGCTTTTTAGTTTAAGAACAAAGAGCACGGATCACCTCACTCTGGACATCATCAAACTTGCTGATTAATACAATAATACATCCAAAGAACATTTCCATTTATTGAAAAAAAAGTATAATTTTTGATGGGTACAAAAATGTATGGATATTTATTTCTGGTTTCGATCACAAAATTGACTCAAAATGATTCTGCACCAATAGGATGAAGTGGGACAGAGATGATCCTAGTAGCTCTGTTACCTTTTTTTTTTTTTTAAATTAAGCCAAAAGTAAACAAAAGAGAAGGAAATGTGGGAATGTTGGTCAAGCTTTTGAGCTTTGATGTCAACATAAGGAAGTAAATAGTTTAAAAGCCACCTAAAGGCTGCATGTTCCTGCTAAGGAGGTTCAATTTTTGCTAATGGTAAGCATTAGCATACAGTACAAAACAAGATGGCGGAGGCGTGAGTGTGCCTCTTACTGGATGGAGAGGAGAGGTTAAACTTTTTTCTATCATCAGCTTTAAATCTCCATAGATGTCAAATAATCAATAAGATTTATTTATGTCCCGGTTATAGTTGCTATTATTGCATATTGGACCGATTCAACTGAATGGTTTATTATAGAGTTGGTTAATTTAACTGCTACTTATAGGTAAACATCTGAAGAACAATTGGATGATTTTTCAGTTATTTATTCAATTGAACAAATCATATTTTCTTTCCTTTTGTCTTACAACATATTTTAGCTTTTTTTTTTAGCTCTTGTGTTTTAAGTGGAGCTCAGACTGCAGTAAAGAAGCACTGTGGGTCACATGATCCATACAAGGATGGATCTGTCCCTCTCAAGTTACATAGCCGAGGTTTTGAGTAGGGCAGGCTGATGACGCACGCCAAGTGCTGAATACTGACCTTAAATATCGTCTGATATAGCTCAAACTAAGTGTAATACTTGGGTCTAAAGTTAGTCGGTGGTGCTTCAATATACATGGTCTGGGAACGGATTGGTTTCTCTCAGAGGAGTTTAGATCTTTGCCAGTGTGCTGGTTTGTCTGGAAAGGGTGTGAGTCGTTCAATGAACAATATTCAGAATAATGCCGTGTCTACCATAGTGTTAATTTTAGCAGCCATTTTTAAATTTAGTTTTAGTTTTAGTCCAGTTTCAGCATCGCTTGTTAGTATTTTATCACATTTAGTCGACATCATCCCATTTTTATTTAGTCTAGTTTTAGTTGACTATAAGTCAGAGCATTTTCGTCTTTATTTTAGTCCAAGAAAACATAATTTTATTCGTTTAGTTTTAGTCAACAAAAACTGTCAACATTTTAGTCTAGTTTTAGCCAGGACATAATTTTAACCTTTTACTTTTTTGTCAGCAGATAATATTTAACATTTCCTAAAATTATTTCACATTTCAACATTTTCTCTCATCTTTTTGATAAAAAAAAAAACAATTTTAAGGAACATCTGCAGACATGGAAGATGTTCTGACAATATTTGCATATTTATTTTGAAAATTGTTAAGGTTCAAAGACACAAACATAAATGCTTGCATTAAAACAAATAAATAAAATAAAGTGTGTTATGAACTTAACACAAGTGCTGGCTGTTTAAAGCTAGTTCACATAGAATAATAAAATAAATAGATTTGAGGTCAATGTTGTACCATGGAGAAACACACCGTGTCTGGAGAACCGTGATTCAGTGACAGAGCAAACAAATCAAGTCTGCTTCCATGCAGCGACATAGCAGCACTTCCAGGGGAACAACTAGTTAGTTAATTTCAATGAACAAACAGAGAATTGCCTCTGAGGAGTAGTTCAGTTATTGGCACTCTGCTGGAAGTGCAAGATGGTACTGCTTTACCTAAATGATTCAATGAGTGGATCTTTGGAAAGAACCAGATTAATGAACTGATTCTTGTGATTAGGATCAAAAGAACCAAAATCCCAGATATCTTGAGCCCTCAACACTGGAGAAACTCATCTGTAGGTACACAGACCAGAAGGAATGATGCAGAGCAGCCAGCTCACTGAGCGCTTACTAGACAAAATGTGGAGGTTTTAGATGGACGGACCAAAAGAAGAAAGAAGAGCCTAACAAATGATAAACAGAGGGGTTGTCTTAGGTTACGGCTTTCTGGCATCTGCTCTGCAGCTCAGACTCTCCTCTCCAGATGTTGTTCAGCAAGTCACACCTGGAGACGTGAACGGACGGTCTCCATGGTGTCGTTAGGGGCAACGGCTCAAACACTGAGCTGAACTGGTGTAATCAGTAATCTGACAGCTGATCCTTTCTGCAGCCACACCGATGATGATGATGATTATTTTGGGGTCCTCTGGGTTCTGCAGGAATCTTTGTTTTTACATCTAATCAAACAGGAGCTTCATGCTGACATTTTCAGCCTCTCTGCTCCCTCATCTGTTCTCCATCTGCTCTTACAGCAGAGATGTTGAGACGGGGAAGCTTTAATCTGAGCTCAGAGCTGATCTTACAGGAACCCAGCAGCAGGTCCATCCTGTGAAGCCTCCAAAAAGCTCTGAAGGATGTCGGCTGCTGGCGTTAGGAAAGCTTTTTTCACCTTTCAGTTGCTGTAAAGCTATTTAGATTATATTTGTAGTCGGTCAAAGGAAGCAAATTTTAACATGTAAACAGTTAACAAAAACTCTGGATGCTCATTAGATCAGATTGGAACATCGTTAATAGTTCCATCACATTTATGATTCCCACTTTTCACATTTAAAGCCTGATGCATTCTTCCTCCTGTCCTTCCAGCTTTTATTGTGAAGCAGCTGAAGCTGGAGGAGGTTTCCAGAGAAACTCAGAGCCCAGGAGTTCCCCGGAGTCCCAGCTGCAGATAAATATTAATATGATGTGCAGCTCCTTATTAACAAAGCACGGCTGAATAATGAGCCTTAATGAGAGTGAAGCTGAAAATTGAGCTGAGCTGGAGATGAACCGCAGAACAGATCGGTTTAGGAAGTGGAAAGCTTTCAGCCAGAACGGAGCACAGAGATGAATGAAGCTCCTCAGAAATCTCATTCAGCTCCTGCTAAATCTAAGACAACCTGAGCACCTCCTTACTCTGGGTCAGAAGGTCAGGAGGGGATAATTTTGGACTGAAAATCCACCTGAGAGATCTTCAGATGAGCTGCAGCTAGATTTAAATGGCAGCCATCTTAGATTGTGAGGTCGGGGTAGAATGGAGGTTAAGGGGCCAAACATGAGCTTCTGTTCTGACTAAATCAGCTGGTGTTGTGGCGAATTCTTACTTGGAAACTAAGAATGAACTGAAATGCTCCTCTGCACGGTCAGGTGTGTGCAGGTCCAGCCCTCTGAGCTGCTGATGTCAAACATCTGATTACATCTTTCTTCACTTTGTGTCTCTGCAGAACATCTCGAGCTGCCGCCGTCCTCCTCTCTGACCCCTGCTTCCAGCTCCACTCCATCCAGCACCTCCTAGGAGAACCAGGAGACCCCCCCAATGCGTCATCTGTCAGCCGTCCTGTGGCCGCCTCTTCGGGTTCCTCTGTGGCTCCTCTGGCTCCTTCTGCAGCTGTAAACTCCTCAGAGAGGAAACATTTCTCCCTGCATGCATGTGAGTTCCTCCAGGCATTCCTGGATGTTTCTACAGGCTCTGCCTGAGCTGCAGAAACCTTTAATTTACTTTGAATTTGTGTTGACTGCTTTAGGTTTTTATGTGTTCTGATAAAGGACCTTCATCCACTAAGAACAGACTGATGTCAGAAACACAAAAACATGGAAGGGATTTTAACCCAAGCATTCCGAACCCATGAACATCAGAACCCTTGGATGGTTCTGGGGTCAGCAGGGTTTAAGTTAAGTAGAACTTCAGGTCCATGTTCTACTGAACCATTCATAGAAATCCCTGATTGGTCACAAGGTGAATATTTCACCACATCAGAACCATCGTAACACTTCAAACTGAGGATTGTGTGGCAAAATTTAAAGAAAGAGACCTGGACCTGAATCTTCATAGACCAGGAGCCATAGAGACCCGGGGCCTCTGTCCCACCATCTGCTCTTCAAAGTGTTGTGCTGTGGTTGTGTGTCTGTGTTTCCTGTTGCCAGGTGAGGCTGGTCTTGTCACAACAGCATCTAACTCTGTTGCCATGGGAACACCAGCAGTTTCCATGACCACCCTGTGTAGCATCATGTAGGGTTAGTGGAAGCCAGACGTGCCGTCTGTCAGCCCCTGGCACCAACCTGTTTGAGATTAGACTGCTGAGGACTGATCTGGGTTCTGGGGAGTCCACATCCGGTTCAGACCCGTCTGCTGGGCTGAAACCGCCCTGGGTCAGTCAGACGGGCGAGGAGTTTGGCCTGAAATAAACAAAGCAATGAGCTGCAGAAGAGACGTCAGTTTCTGATCTAGAACCATTTCTGAGATCAGTCCGTCTTATTTGGATCTCCATTAAGCTTTCTGTTCAGTCTGCGATCATGAACCAGAAGTGGAGTCTGTGACTCCTCTCGTGGAGGAAGTGACTCCTCTCGTCTCCTCTTTTTGAAGCAGCAGGTGGATGATCAAACCTAGCAGCTGAGATTCTGTTGGATCGGATCAGGAGGACTTTTGTCTCTATCTGAGGGTCCAACATGTGAGATTTGAGTCTGTCCTTCGCCTGTGTAAACAGAATTAAGGACCAAATGTTCCTGCAGTAGGAGCACAGCTCCTGAGAGGTTCAGGCGGTCCGTTTCTAGCAGTTAAAACAAACCTGGATCGCCCGGCGGACCTTTAATGGACTTTGGTTTGTGGGCAAATATTTTAGACTTTCTGATTGTTGGGTTCTGCCAGCACAAGCTGTCAGTTCCTCTGCTAACAGCCGGCCTTCACCTCCAACCATCCTGCTGGAGCAGAGATCATCCACCTGGCAGAGGGCCAACACACCAATATCGCAGCTCAGATGAGGCGCTGTCGGTTCACCACAGAAACACGATCCATCTGATGGAGCAGGAGGAAATGGAGACATGGATCGAACCCCATCAAATAGGAGGAGAGGAGGATTTAACTGATGGAGGGTCTCTCCTGGATTGTTTAAATCTCAGCTTAGAAAAGATTTCAGCCCAAAACAGTAAAACGTTTTCACATATTTAAGATTACTATTATTAATATTGTATATTTAATTATGTAACGGAATTTCAAAGTTTTATATAAATTATGTTGTTTTAGACTAAGATAAACAAGAAAACAATAAAGGTGATTGGAAAATAAAAACAAATCAGGCAGAAGAAGCTCTACCAACACCAAGCTAATGAAACCAGTCCTTCCGGCAGGTGATATATTCATGTTAGAATCAAGTATCTTCTGTTATAAGACATATTAGCCCCACCTCTGCATGACTCAGCAGAAAACTACATCAAAGCGCCAGTTTGTTTAGAAATAGGAAGAATCTTTTTAATGTGATTTATTATAATTTTTTTTAATAAAACAGGTTTACTCTTCGTTCAGGGAGGTAATCCAAAGTGGAAAGAGTAGACACACCGTTTACTCAGATACTTCAGAGGATTACTCAAGTAAAAGTAAAAAGTACGGTGCAGGAAAACTACTTTTTTCAAAAATGACTCGGTGTATTAGCTGGTTCCTACAGTCTATCTACCAGCTGTCTGTGAGCTCCATGGATCTGGATCATCTTTACTTCAACCTTTTGACCCAGCTGTTGAAGTTGTCTGTACGGAACCTCTCATCTGATCACACTGCGGTCGGGAAGTAGCCCTTTAACATCCTTCAGTCTCCACTGAGCTTCTGTTAATGTCCACTCGGTGACCAGAACCACTGTGAGGTCTGCAGAGGTATGTCTCTGCAGCATCAGCATTTCCAGAGTTTTCCTATAAATATCAAGAAGCCTGCAGATCTTCCCTTTCTCTGAACCCTACAGCTCAGATGTTCTAATGAAGGTAGAGGTACTAAGGAAACACTGAAGGATCTTCACTGAGGGTCAGAGCAGCCCTGGAGTTGGAAGAAAATCAAGAACTTCAGGATGACAAGTTCTGCTGCAGTGAAGAAGTTCAATGAGATCCAACAAGACCAGCAACTGAACTTCATCAGCAGTTCGATGTTGCTTATCTACAACCACAGTGAGAAGCTTCCTCTGTCCAAGAAGACCACCCAGAACTATCTGATGTTCTGTAGAAAGACCCAAGACTTCCACAACTCCTCCCAGGTTCTCTAATGTTACAGGACTCCTCAGTATGAGCCTGTACTCTCAGAAGCTGCTCAGATAACCCAAAGTTCTGTCCCGGAGGAAGTGACATCATCTAAACTTTGAGATTGATGCAGCTATGAACAGGTCAGAAGGTCCAAGGAGACTTTAGGGGCCTCATGTAGGAACCGTGGTAGCAGCAGGGTTCCACACACATCTGTGTGTGAAGGAAGGCTGGGTGAAAAGTTTTAGCTCTTTAGAGTTTGTTATTGGTGACTGAAGAAGAGTGTGGATTATTAGATTATCATTTTAACATAGAATTGATTGTCATAACAATGGATTAACAGACTATTTGAATTCACAAAATATTGTATTGTAGAACAATAGACTTTAGTAAGTTTATCAGAAAATTGGATCATGGGACATCAGATTAAAATAAAAGCTTGGATTATTAGATAAAAATAAATCATTGGATTATTAGAACAAAATAAAACAATGGATTATTAGATCCAAATAAAACCTTGGATTATTAGATTAAAATAAATCATTGGATTATTAAATTAAAATAAAACCTTGGATTATTAGATTAAAATAAAACCTTGGATTATTAGATTAAAATAAAACATTGGATTATTAGATTAAAATAAAACATTGGATTATTAAATTAAAATAAAACCTTGGATTATTAGATTAAAATAAGACCTTGGATTATTAGATTAAAACAAAACATTGGATTATTAGATTAAAATAAAACATTGGATTAGCATACATGAACATAACATTGGCTTATGGCACATTGAGACATCAGAGTATTAGATTATAGAACAATGGAGTTTAGAATGTTGAAATAACTGAATATTGGATTATAGAACATTGGTTTTCAGAACAGAGTTGTGGTAAATTTTGGTGAATTTCACATATTTTATACTTGAGGCTGAAAACCCAGAGGAATGGAAAAGATGTTCCAGGACTTAATCCCGCAACAGAACCAGACTGAAACCTGATGTGATCCTGAAGGTTTGTGGAAGAGTCCGACATTAAATGGATGCTGAGCTTTAGACATGTTGGATCAGCTAAGATCCAGATGGATGTTCTGAGGTTTTTAGCTCCATCAGATTTTGGCACCAGATAAATTCTGACTGACTGCTGATTGCTTTTGATTGTGTAGCTGAACATCTGTCTTAGTATCAGAGGCAAACCTGTTCTGTTCTCTGGGTTTTACTTGGACCTGCAGATGAAGCATCATTTTTAACGAGTCATCTGTCAGAGGCTGCGATCAGATCCAATCGTGTTTTTAAGCAGCTTTAGATTCCACACACACACCGTTGAATCTGTTTCTGCTCTGTGTCTGTAGAACCAAGGGGTTAAAAGTACAGAAGACGTCATGTTCTGAAGCTGTAACCTGTCAGAACCCTTTTAGGCCGATGTGTGAGTCATTAAATCACGTTCTGTGTTTTCCTGCCCACAGACACCGACTACATCAGCCAGGAGGAGAAGCAGAAGGTTGAGATGATGCTGGAGTTTCTCACTGAAGAGTCTAAACAGGCCGCCGCCTCCACAGCAGTAAGTTCTGCCTCTAAAGCTTTGAGCGCCGCACCTCACATCCTCTCCTTTGGTGATGCATTTTCTAAGTAGTCCTAAGATGCTGGATCTGAGGTCAGAGCAGCAGTAGAGCCTCTGCTTCCTCCTGGCAGCTGAGACATCCCACCATTGTCTGCACCTGCTCTATTTCTGGGATCAATCTGGGCCCAAACATTCAATCAGATCCTCAGCAGCTCCTTCCTACTCATAGCCTCCAGCAGTTTGGTTTTCCTCAGAAGTTGTTGGCCAGCCGACAGCCTTCCCAGCAGCTGAATGTGACGGAACAAGATTCCAGGCGTCCTCCTTCTCCTCTCAGTCTGGAAACCTGAGCCAGGCTGGGCCGGGCCTCTGCATAGCAGGATTTATCACCAATGGATACACAGAGAGGATAAATCTCTGATCTGCAACGTCAGGTTCACACAGACTGTAAATCTAATAAAGTGCAACTTTCTCAGCAGAGGTTCGTAATGGACAGTAGCGCAGGTCATCACTCTGAAGTTCAGCTGCTCAGAGTTAAAGTGCTGCGAGTTCAGAAGAACCACAGCCTCCCTAATGGATCTCTGATGGGTCTCTGAAACACTGAGAGGGTGGGAATGACGTCAGGCTGGGCTGCAGGCAGGAGGCGGTGGACCTGAGGTCCCATTAGAGGAGATCAGAGACGAGAACTCCTGAACGAAGCGCGTAAAAATAAAACTGCAACGCAATGTCGACACTTCTGAAAATTAACATGCTAAAAATTTGTTAATTTGCACAGATTTATGACCTGCCGTAAAAATGTTGAGAAAATGTTGATGACATTTTATATGGAGGAAGAAAAAAATCGTTAGACACCAAAAATCAACTAATTGCTCCTATTTTTTTCTTTAGCTTTTATTAATTAAATCTAAAAAACATAACAGAAACTGCAGTTAAATGTAAGCTAAATATTCGTTGTAACAAAAAAAAAAAGAATAAAAAAATAAAGCGATGGCATATCAGCATATTAACAATAGTAATATGGAGGCCATATTAATATACTTGAATATAAGGTTTTGGTTTGCATTACAATCAGTAAGCTCAGTGTTCAAATAGACAGAATGTAAACATTACACGCACATGCACAGCAGAAGCCGTTCCCAACAGGAATTAAATGAAATCATATTAAACCCACTTATCCTGGGTTTAGGTTTCTCAGCCACCAACATTAGGATTAGTGGCAGCCATCTGTGAACGGAATCAACCCAGGATATTAAATTATGTTTAGATATTAACTCCACAGGAGGTTCCCCACAAAACCTGTGATGTGAAAGTTTTTTGTTTCAGCTGGTAAAACAAGTGTGTGTGTAAACAACAGGGATATTTGGCTCAAAAACAGAATTGCTGAATTGTTTTAAAATATGAGAATTTATCGAATTTTTTTTTTTAATTTATTTTTTTCTAAATTTGTGTTATTTCCAATGTTTACTCAGTATGGACTGTAAAATTGGAGGAGCCCTGTCCCTGCAGTTGGGTTTGAAAAAAACATGCAAGACTCTGGGTTGTATTAAGGTAAACAGTGTGGTGAGGCTGCTGAATTATTTTTGTGCGCCTCAGATTTAGAAATGGAAACATTCAGAATGGGAGTTGTGCATGCTTTTGTAGATGAGGGCCCTGGTTCATGTCTGGGAACTCCTGATATCCAGCCTAAATCTTCTGGTTTGAATTCCCTGAATTCTACCAAATCAACCCTGAACCCTCTGGAACTCCAAACCGCTCAGGTCCTGATCCGGGAGCTTCTCCAACCTCAAGCTGTTGTGACGTGGTCTCCTGTGTTTTTCTTCTCTGCAGCTGGTCTGGTTCTGATCCATTATCAATTCCTCACACAGACACAGGGCTCTGCTCACGGGCTGCCTTTCTGGTTCTGATCCAAACCCGTTGAATCTCAGAAGTTAATCACCTGCTACAGTTTTCTTAGATGGACCCGATCACCAGGTGTTCATCTGGTTCTGCTCGGATCTGAATGTATAAAGGAGGACATGTTTTCTGTAGAAGCTAACCAATCAGAACCTGTCATCCTCCAGAATCAACAGAAACCCAGCAGCTGATCCTGGAGCTGTTTTCTCCTTCAGCCCTAACTGATTAAATCATAAGTGTTTGAAAAGCTGCCATCTCCAGTTCTCCCAGTGTTTCCATTAACACACACACAGCGACCCAGAACCCTCTGTTTGCTTGGAATCACCAGGACAGCAGCTTGAAGCACCAGAACCAGGCGCTCCAGGGCCCTGCTGAGTGTCCGGTTGACCTTTAACGGAGATCATCTTCCTTCTGCTGTACATTTGTTCAGGTTCAGTGAGAACATCTGCTCTGCAGGAAGTTTGGAATAAACCGTGTTCGGTTCTTCTCCGGCCCATTTGTTTCAGTCCTAAATGGAAACCTTCATATTATCATTTGTTTGTTTTTTTAAAGCTCTTTAAAACAGCAGGAACTGACTGATGAAAAATGAGAACAATTCAAATAAACAACAACAAAAAAAACTAGAAATTTAAACAGAATGATTCAGGAAAAAAAACATGTAAATAAAGCAGTTTCTATAAAATAGAATCAACAACTGGTATCGGTTCAGCGCCTGGCATCAAGAAGAGGTGGGTTTTCAGAGCAGATCTAAAAATGGCGTACGAAGCAGGAGCATTCCCGCTGTTTGGGATTTGATCACTGAGTTTCCGTCATGTCCTCGGAACCGCAGAGGCTCTGATCTGATCCAAACCGCTGCGAATCAGAGGAGAAAAGTAGATCAGACAATGAAAACCATGTTGATCTTTTGAATAACTGTTGATCAGATGCCCTCAAACTCTTTTCTTTGAATACCACCTTAAACTAATGTGGGATCTTCAAGTACCATCACAATGTCCGCCTATAAAACACAACAATATACAACAAAATGGAGATAAAACAGTTTATGGGTAGTTTGAATGTGGTTTATGTTTTTACTTCCACAGCTACAAAAATTTTATGTTTGAAGTGCATAAATATAATATACTGTATTGCAGGACTTGGCAACCAAAAAGGATAACTGTTGTTCAGAGAAACGGATAAGGCCATTTACAGACGCACTGCAAATAATCTGAACCTCTTTGCGGAAAATGACTTTAGTCAGCAGAATATTAGTAATTGTGGTAATGTGAACTGCTCTGCAATAAAAAAAAATGGACTAAGTCATTAACAGCTGTAAGAACATTAGTGTCAGTCTCAATGTAACCATCTTATTTTTAATGATTGTGACAGGAATATTTTCATTTCTTAGAAGCCAAAGGTTTGGGTGTCTGACTTTTAAATTCTAGCTCAACAGAGGACGGCTCAACTCTGAGATGTTTTTCTGCATCCAGCCTGTTTCTGGGCTCTCATATAGTCAAGGCGAGGGATGAGCAGTCTTTGTCGCACACATGTTGTTGAAAGAGGCAACGGAAAGCACACAGCTTTAGTAGAAAGGGTAGAATACTTTGTCTCTCTGTCCAGAAGTCTGTGTTTCTGTCCACTGCATAGTGACCAGCGTTGCTCACTAAAGATAGAATCGTTACACTGAAAAAAAATCCAAATCTAGATAAGTCTTTTTTTCTTAAAATAAGTGCATTTTTCTTGAATTGAGGAAGTAAAAGAGACATTTTGCCGATGGAACAAGATAATTTCCATTTAAGATAAGAAAACACAATTGCATTGTCTTATTTCCATTGCATTTTATCTAATTATCTTACTTTAAGAGTTAAAATACTCATTCCATTGGCAAGCTATCTCATTTACCTACTCAAATTAAGGATAAATACATTTCATTAAGGACAAATACACTTAATTTAAGAAATGTATTACTTATTTTTAGATCGTTTTTCCAGTCTATAGAGAGATGGGTGCTTTCACATGTCGCCAAAGTTTCCAGCAACCCCCCAAAAAACTGTTAGATTTGTCGCTAGTCGCATGTTTTGAGAAAGAGTCACTATCCCGACATTTGTCACTATCCCAACATTTTTCGGGATAGTGACAAATGTCGGGATAGTGCTGAACCTGATTGAACCTGGGGTGGTACTGTCCAGTGCTGAAATGGCTGGCGCCTTGTCTGCCCCTGCTGTGCAGTCACCACAGGCCCTGTCCAGTGCTGAACCTTATTTTACCTGGGGTTGTACTGTCCAGTGCTGAACCTTATTTTACCTGGGGTTGTACTGTCCAGTGCTGAAATGGCTGGCACCTTGGCAGCCTCTGCTGTGCAGTCACCACAGGCCCTGTCCAGTGCTGAACCTGAGGAGCCTCGTATGGGCGCTGTTGAAGGAGTTAGGGTCCTGCCTGAAATGCTGGTTAATGGCAAAGGGTTAAATTCTGAAATATTGGAAATAATTTGATGGACGGGTTTCAAAGGATGAGTTATGTGCAGCGCCCCAGAAGCCCTCAGCCAAAACAATGAAATTGTTTGCCCCTGCTGTGCAGTCACCACAGGCCCTGTCCAGTGCTGAACCTGAGGAGCCTGGTATGGGCGCTGTTGAAGGACAATTGTCCCGAAGGACAATTAAGCATTTTCTGACATGCTTATCTCTGCTGGGGTCACGAGGGGATCTGGTGCCCATCTCCAGCTGTCAATGGGCGAGAGAAAGAGTCCCTAGAGGCATCTAAATATAGTTAGAATCGGCCAATGCATTGACTGGCTAATGAGGGAGCGATAAGAGGTTATGAATTAGACCAGCACACACTAAAAATAATTTTTCAAAATTAAAAACAATTCCAGAGACCCAGATTTCACTTTTATTAAAAGTCGTGCTCCGTAACACCACCAGTAAACGTACCGCTGTTTGACAATTACTGCCGTAGAGATATGAATATGCTGTGATATTTATTAATGGAGAGAAGGTAGTTCATCTTTAGTGAATAATTAAACAATTGGGGATTCTGTGCCCTTTCAGTTTTCTGATTCTGGATCAGCAGTGTAAACGCTCTTTTACTGTAATCAGGTGTGCTATGGTGCCTTCAGTGACCAGAAAAAGATCAGAGTTTTGACTTTCTGTCCAGAATATCGCAATGAAAGGTTCTGCTTCTGCGCGTCTGTCCTGTAAAGGGAGAGGAACAGATATGCCAGCTTAGTTTTCATAAAGGGTAACGTTTATCTCATTCAGTAAGTTCTCTCCTCGTTATGATGTACATTTTTAAATGTGAGCAGAAAACTCGACGGTTCTCAGTGTGATGGCGTCATGTTTTTGATGTATAAACTCAACCCGCTCAGACCACTCCTGTCCTCCACCTTCAGACAGTCCTCCATGTCCTCTCTGTGCCCCCCTACTCCTCCGTCAGAGGAGGCTCTGCTGCCTCCCTCTGCTGACCTACATGCACCCCCCTCCTCTTCATGCTAACAACAGGATTAACATCACAGGATCTGGGTTCCCTGCAGGAATTCTGCTCAGTGGCCCAGATTTCTGCTTAAACAACATGAGACCAAAGTTTGGAGATCAGAACCTCCCTACAGGGTCCAAACTCATGGAAAGGTCACATCTCGGGTTCTGACGGGTCCTGCAGGACATGCAGGGAGGCAGTGACCTTACAGAGATGACCTTTAGACTCTCAGCAGCATCTTGCAGTAAAATAACCATCCTGCTGCTGCGGATTGGACAGAATAGAGCTGCAGTCTGAACACAGAGAACCTGCTGGAACCTCCACATAAAGCACATTAGCGGCAGACAGGCTCCTCTATCTGGTTCTGCTCCTAAAAACATCTTCCAGGCGGAGGAACCTCTGTCTGTTAACATCTTCCAGGAAATAGTCCTTACAGCCTCCTTCAGACCCACAGGACCAGCATTCTGTCCAGTGTGAGCTGTCTAAATCAGGACTTCAACACTGCAGTCCTGAAACCAGGTTCAGAGAACAGAACCAGGTTCCTGGTTCAGAGATGTGGATTCTTTACCAATTTGAAGATTCTGACAGTAATGTGGAGTTTTTTCCATGGTTAGAGATTGAGATCAACAGTGTAAAACCGATAGCTGTCCACCATCATCATACTGGAACAATCAGCGGCCCACTGCAGGTTAGGGTTCTCCTGCTGATGGAGAACAGAACCATCCACAGTCTGTCTGTGTGCAGCTCAGTCTCGTCAGATATTACTGGAACAGCTTCAGTTACTCATTTTGATGGAAAGCTTCTTCCTTCTCCTCCTACTGTGTCGTTTACTGGTTCCTCATGAAGTTCTGAGGATGTACTGTTTCTCTTTAAGTTATTGAGGTTTCTGACTTCTTGCTTTTTGTCGAAACTTTTTCATCTCAGAGGTGTTTGAGCTTCCTGTGAATCATCCGGTCGCAAATGGGCCGTATTTCTAATAAGGAGTTATTTTTAATGAGATTCATTCTGGTCAGCTTTTTATTAGAATTTACTCATCTTGATGTTTCTACAGCTCACTTCACCTGAGAGCTGCTTCTGTTTTCCTACTAACCCAGTAAAATAATCTTAACCCTTTATCATCCAATTTACCAATTTTGGTAGCTTGAATATAAGCGCCACCACTCATCAGACGTGTTCTCTAATGTAAATTACACAATTTTTTTTTTTAATTAAGCTATTTTAAAACTTAAAGTAAAAAGTCATGAAGCTAATTTAAACAGTTAAAAAATCATGTCCTGTACCAGCGTTCATGTTCTAAAGGGAGATCTTGTTTCTTTCTATAAGTTTATTTTCATGAATTTCTTATTGAAGCACCCTTTGGATTATTATTTTTTTTTTTTTACCATATTTGGGTAAATTACTATTTTTGGTAATTACAATTTAGTTCGATTTGCAGTTAAAATACTTTTTTAATCTTACAAAAGTAATATTTAAAAAAATAAATGTATATTAATTATTCCGTCCTCCAATAACACTCTTTAATTGAAACTTTTGAATTTAAAGTATTTCACTTTAAAGCCGTATAATATTCCATCTCCTCTCAGGGATCTGATCTAGTCACTCATTTCTAAAACTATGGATGGATGAATCAGTGGAGCCACCTGTGCAACTGTGAAACCTCATATTAACTCCCAGCTCCCATAATGCACTGCACCAAATGGGGCACTTGTTGTCATGTGACCTCAGCAGCAGCATTAAAGGGGTTGATCTGGTTTGTTGCAAACTGGTTCTGTTGTTATAAAAAGATCTCGTTCTGCTTTTTTCAGCCAACCAGTGAGGAAGATCTCTGTCCCATTTGCTACGCCCACTCCATCTCTGCTGTGTTCAGGCCCTGCTCGCACAAGTCCTGCAAGTGAGTCCAAAGAGCCACACGTGGCATAACAGCATCCCTTTAACCTTGCAAAACAATAACCGTGAACATATGCAACTGTCTAGAACACATTTTAATGTTAACAAGGATGCAGAATATACTTTATGGGTTGTAATTATTACCTAAATGGCTCCTGTTGAGCTGTGCTGCATTACTGAGTACCGGAGGGTATTAAGCAAAGCATTTGTAAAGTCATAGAAAGACAAGCATGGTTGATTGAAACTTTGGTGGGTTAATGCACTTCATGGAGCCAAGTTTTAACATCCCTATGAGAGTAACCTCAACCACTTGTTTAAAACACAGCTGAGAGCACAAATTGTTGCTCATTCTACTGATGGATCATACTGAAAACAGAGAGATCTGTCGCAGTTACCGCCCACTTCATCAAAATGAAGTGGCAAGAAGTCTGACAGCATATACGAGTGACATACCCTGATAGTTTTACATCTCTTAGGGATTATAGCTATAATTAATTCTCTGTATTCACTCATTCCCGCTTTGCTATATTTTATAAATCAGTCTAAGCTGAATAATATGTAATAAGACTAATTTTGTTTATTAAGTATTTATTACAACTAACATAAGTAGCTGAATGTAAAGACGTACTACGTTTTATTTATTAAATTCAGCGTATCACAGTGGCGTCTTTTTGGCATGAGGGCAAATAATGTCAAGTTAGATTTGTCCAAGCATGCCAAAAGTTATGATTTACATTCTTTTCTAGATTAAAAGTTACTTAATCACACAGTATTTTAAAAGATGATTTGATTTGCAAATCACTGAAGTTTTAGTAGAAAAAGATTTGCTTAGTTAAAAAGAAAAATGCAGCAAATGATGCAATATTTTTCTAGATATATTTTGTCTTTTATGGAGAAATGAAATGGGTCACTCCGGCTTTATTTTGCTAACTTTTGTGTATTGGCTCATTCTGCTCATACATAAAAGTCATCAGTTGACTATTTACAATTAAATAAAAGTTAATCCAAAAATATTATCGACAAAAGGGGAAAATTATATTTTAAATCTTACATTTACAATGTGTAGAAGGTTGCACAAATTTTTTTCTTGTGCATCTGCATCAAAAGCTGGGTCTGGCAAACTTAAAGCCTTTCTTGAATTGTGATCAAGGGACACCTAAAATTTACTGTTCCCAGTAGATCCAGTTCAGGCTGTTCCCAGTGGATCCAGGTTAGGCTGTTCCCAGTGGATCAAGTTTACGATGTTCCCAGTGGATCCAGTTTAGGCTGTTCCCAGTGGATCCAGTTTAGGCTGTTCCCAGTGGATCCAGTTTAGGCTGTTGCCAGTGGATCCAGTTTAGGCTGTTGCCAGTGGATCCAGTTTAGGCTGTTGCCAGTGGATCCAGTTTAGGCTGTTCCCAGTGGATCCAGTTTAGGCTGTTTCCAGTGGATCCAGTTTAGGCTGTTGCCAGTGGATCCAGTTTAGGCTGTTGCCAGTGGATCCAGTTTAGGCTGTTGCCAGTGGATCCGGTTAGACTGTTCCCAGTAGATCCAGTTTAGACTGTTCCCAGTAGTATAGATCTATACCAGTGAAAAACAGTTTTTTTTATTATTTTGTCTTAAAGTTTTTCCCAGTCAGAACGTTCTTAGTTCTGCAGGTTCTGATTCTGTGTTCTTTGTGCAGAGCCTGCATCAACCAACATCTGATGAACAACAAGGACTGTTTCTTCTGTAAAGCCACCATCACCGGGGTAGAAGATTACAGCAAGCCCTCCTCCTCCTAACACATACAGGCACACCTGAAAATACACACCTGACCCAAACCTAGCAGAACACCCCCACCACCCCGCATGAAAGCATCTGCAGCGTCACAAGCGCTCAATGAGCTTCAAGCTCGATCAAACCGGTGGGAAGAACCTTTATTTTGAAAGTGCCCAAGTGTATGTGTGACACTGAAACCCCCTTTGACTCCGGACTGTTCTTCACGCTCAGGATCAGAACACTGTTTGTTTTACTGGACCTTCTTCTCCTTTTTCAGTTTTTCTTCTATAAATGGTTCAGAACCAACTTTAGTCCCATTTTAGTTTAGTGCATCTCTGCAGGTCTTCTGATGATTTCAGCTACAGTCACAAATAAAATCTGATGAAACTGTTAGAAAATGAACTGAGGGAACATTGAGAAATGATCACTGCAGGAATTCTTGACCTCTGACATCAGAAGGCTGGTGCAGATCCAGTCTCTTGAGTTGCATCAGGTTGCATCTGGTGGTTGGGTTTAGGGATTTGTATCTGCCTCAGCTCCGGCCCTCCGTACCAACAGATGTTCCTGGGTTCTGCTCTGATCATTGTAATGTTCCGATAATCCGGGTTCTATCAGGTACTCCTTTCCTTTGACTCAGACAGCTGAAGATGGTCCTTCTCACTTGCTGGTTCTGAGGTTCTGAAGGTTGAACATAAACATCTCCTCTGAGTGTTTAAGGGGAAATAATACAGCCACAGATCTGTTGGTTCTGATCAGGATGTGTTCTGTTGGTGTGAAAGTTTGAACATATCAAATCTGTAAACTCATTAAATTATTCTCCTGAACCAAACAATCGGACTCTGTGTTCTCTCTGTTGGTGTGGAGAGTTCTGTCAGAACTGCTGCTTGCAGTGAAGGTCCCACACACCAGAACCACCTAAGGTTCTGCTCTGGTGCCGGATGGAGACGGTCCTCCAGAGGCTGCTGATTACAAACAGTGGTACGTCTGAAGGGCATCAGTGGACCATCACAGGCTGTGTCCAAAGTGGGTGCAGAAGGTTCTGTATGTGGTTCTTGTTAATCTCTGCTTGTCCAGAGGCTGACACCACTTTACAGTTTATAGACCGAGACAGAAATAACTGCTAACTGATGAAGAGGAGGAGGACTGTTCAAGGACACGGACGGCTCTGGGAGTATTTATAGCAGAACCGGAGCGATCCGTTTCCCCTGATCGATGGAGGAGCAGGGGAAACATGGAAACCCGCCATGTGTGCGGGAGATAAAGCAACTGGGTCAATGACACCAACGGGACACTTCATCCTCTCAAAGCTGCTGGACCTGCTTCGGTTAAGAACACTGGACCAGTTCTGTTTGGACTGGAGCCTGGCTGGTACCTGAGGATTAAACCTGCAGTCCCTACAGAAGCGACTTGAATTTTTCAGGTAAAATAAATAAATAGAATTTTATTGATCTCACAATGGAGAAATTCATTCTCTGCATCTAACCCATGCCCTTTGGGGAGGGGTGGGCGGGCAATGTGCAGCACCCAGGGAGCGATCAGGGGTTAGTGGTGTTGCTCAGAGAGCCAGAGTGGCAGTGGGTTTCAAACTCACAACCTCAGGATTCCAAACCCTATGCCCTAACCATTAGGCCGCCACTCACAAAAAGATGAACAGAATTGAAAACAAATTGGGTGGTTCTGATTAAATTATGTGTCAGTTTGTCCATAAAGGTACCACAGCAATGTTCTGGGTCAAGGACACTTTAGGTTGTTAAAGAAACTTTTTTAATTCTTAAATTTAAACTAATTCTTTTAAATCGTTTCTAGTAAAACGCTGCCACCCAGTGGTCAAAGCTGGAAGTGCAGTTTGTGGATCCCCAGCACTAAAAACTGAAAACCTTCGATTCAGGGGTTTCCTCTTCAGCTCCTGCTTTATTGGTGAAGACCAGCAGTGATCCAGCAGACGGAAGCAGGAAACTTTTAATCTAATATTTAATCTGAGCTTATTCAGAACCTCCTGAAGGTCATCATCATCTCTCTCCATATCACCTCTATGTACTGTTGCTCTCAAGGGTCAGCCTCTGCTCTTTTATTGTATTATTTTACCTTCCAATTTTCTATTTTGGTTTTCTAACTTTTCTTTTTATAGCTTATTGTTGAATATAGTGACCTTATATGCCTTAAAATTCACCTTTTAAATACAATTTTATTATCATTTGTCTGCACAGAGATCACTCAGGATAAAAACAAATTTAAAAAAACAGACTCATACAGCTTACAGTTCAGTTTTCCCTATTATGTAGGCCAAAATATTTAGCATGAAGAAATTCAACTTAATTTTGGATTTTTATTGCACTGTCACAAGTGCAGAGCAATGAAACTAACTCTCTGCATTTAACTCATCCCCTTGGGGATGAGGTGGGCTGCCATTGTACGGCACCCTGGGAGCAGTGTGGGGTTAAGGGTCTTGCTTAGGGACCTAGAGTGTGTGTCCGTGGGAGTGGGGTTTAAACTCGGCACCTCTGGATTCCAAGCACAATGCCCTAACCACTAGACAACACTCTCCTAATAAAGAGCTATATATGGATGTGCATTAAATATTTGATCCCTTTCAGAATTTCCCTCTGCCTTTCATTATAAGGAAGTACTGCTATTCTGAATTAGAGATCTATATCATCAGACATATTTAGCTTTGATGCAATTAAAATCTAGAGGATCAGAAAGCATCCTTTAATTGTGCTGTGATAAAGGTGCTAATGATAAATAAAATAGCCTGGATGTTTCAACAACAAACTATTCTCTGAATGATTAAAGCTAAAAGATCAGATTATAATCTTATCCCCCCCCAGATCCTGCTTCTCTGTCTGGCTTCACCAATTACTGCATGCTTCAAAGAGGCTAAAGGTCAAAGATAAGCTGACCGGCGGCTTCATTTTATTTCTCTAATGAAATACAAAAATAACATAATACATGATTTTTATTAGCTGTTAGAGGCAGGGATATGGGGGGAAAAATGTAATTAAAGAAGAATTTTGACCAAAAAGGCATCTGTGTACAGGGAGCAAAAAGGGCAGAGGCTCCATAATTCTGTTAAAAGGAATGAGTGAAACCATGTCTGATGTCTGTCATCTAAGGTTCTGGTCTGAGGCTGATGATCCAATGCTTCTGTGATCTTCAACAGCTGCAAAAGGTCTTCACTCTAAGGATTACTGTGGTTGTTGGGTGTTTAGTCTAAATTTTGGATCACAGAGCAGAGAAACTTAGAGCTGAAAAAGAAAATGCTTTTAGATCAGAAAGAAGTTTCAAGGAAGCATCATTTCCCGAGTCCCAGCTGGGATTTACCATAGATCAGCTTCCATGCTGGGATTTACCATAGATCAGCTTCCATGCTGGGAGATACCAAGTGACAGCTTTATGTTCATATAGGTAAATTACAGTCCAGCAGTAAATTTTTATGGTTAGTTTATTTTCTCTTGAACTTAACTTAAAATTGACATTTACTCAGCGCGTATTACGCATAAAGAGCTTGAATTTGATTTGCTAAGAGAACCTGACTGCATTCAATAAAAAAATCTAGTAAATATGAATTAACAGTTGTCAGAAAAACTATTTTATTTCTTCCCAGATATTTTACAAGTTTTTTTTTAATCTTAACAGAAAAAAACAAAAAATAAATTAAAACAAAAAATTTTAAATGAAAACAAAAAAAAGATTTTACGTACAGATCAATGTGTGATCACTGAGCGTGTCTCACACATTTGTAATTTTCTTGATCTACCTTCATTTTCTGCATCTACATCCTTAAAATGCAGCCAGTTAAATAGACCCATTTTCAGAACCAGAGCAGACTTGCCAAAGTGCTGAACAATAAAATATCATTTAGAAGACAACCCTACTTGGAATAAAACCAGGAAGGAAACTGACTGGGTGAAAGGATTTTAAAAACAAGTGGTGGAGCCTGGCTGATGGAGAGAAGAAGCAAAAAACTAAACAATCAGATCGCTGTCAGAGATCGACGGAGAGATATCCAGGATAAAATAAATACTTAAAATAAATCCCCTTAAAAAGGAGGAGAAACAGTAGAGGAATTCAAATGGGCACAAAAGGTTCAAATGAATTCAGTGTTACATCCTAACATTGAGTGTTTTAAGGGTGACCACAAGGTGGCACTGTCCCCAAAGAAATGGGTTTCAGATTTTTGCCTTTTGCAGGGAGGCGATGCTCTGGTTCATCCCCAGGGCCGGACCGGCTCCAGAAATGGCCCACCATGATTAGCTATAATTTACAGGGAGACACGCAGCATAACAGGACATAAACACACTGAGTGGTTTCAAAAGAAAAGGTATAGCTTAAAAAAACAAAAACAACTATCTGGTAAAAAGGTTACTTAACTAGGATTAAGCCTTCAAATGAAATTAAAAATATAATTCATATGTAAATCCTTTAATTGAATTTTCATTTGGTAAATCATTGACATTTTTTAATATATTATTAAATATGTTAAATACATTTATGATTATACTATTGCTGTGTCCAATTGCCCACCCTAACCACTATATTTGAAGTCTTCCACAGGAGGTCCGCGACCCCTAGGGGGTCCACGGAGTTACTGCATGGGGGGGTTGCGAAAGATTTGGTTGATTAAACTTATTTTAAAATATATTCCCCCCTGCAATTTTTTTCACTTATTCAAATGTCTTTAAATACACATTTACATGAATTCAACACACAAACATAGATCTGAACAGATAAATGGAGGCGGAAGATGTCATCAATGCACACATTCAGAGACACACAGGAGCTCTTTCAAGCTGGACACCGTTTCATTCACAACACCTGTCCCATCAACCAGGAATCAGAATCAGAAATACTTTAATAATCCCTGGGAGAAATTACTTGGAAAACGTTGAAGACCCTTGCACTATATAGGGCCCTATATTTGAGAAGCTGGAAAAGCTCAAGTGTAACAATATTATATCAGTATTTTCTCATACTGATAATAAGTCTGAAGACTGACTCGGTCAAAGGCCACAAAGAAAAGATGATCAGAAAATGCCGGTCATTGTCAGAACTTTAAAGTAATGGACTGATTTGGTTTTTCATTCTTCCTGTTTCTGTTCAGGTTGGTAATTGGAATGAATAAAGCTTTTCATGCAGAAAGTTTCCGGCCATCTTCACGTCCTCCAATCTGCCTGAAGAGGGTCAAAGATCTGCTGGGAAACAACATTATTAGCAGACCAGCGTTGGTCACTAGTTCACCACATTGCTCTGCTAATGAAGTTATTTTCTGGTGCAGAGAGAAGCTCAGCTTGTCTGGAGGTCAGACATCCATCCTTTGCTTAACCTTAATCCTTTACTCTAAACACCTTTAAGCAGAGATGGAAACATGTCATCACGAAACAGGGGAACACATTCTTCTTGTCATATCTACCTTCTGGCATCTTCAATGCTTCTCCAGCTTTTATCTGGTTTTCATGATGGTTCCAACTCTTAGCTAATAGCACAGAGCCAGAAGAGAGCAGCTTTGAGCGATCTATTGGGTCTAAAAGGACTGTTCTCGCTGATCCAGGTTGTGCCTGAAGATGTGATGTTTCAGATCCAGATGTTGAGCGTTTGTCCCAGGTTCGGATATATGCAGGATTTTCTGCAGTTTTTAGGGGAATACATATCAGAACAGAGGATGAATGGACCCTCTGATGTTAAACCTGAGTCTCTGATATGAATCAGTTCATGTTTCTGATCAGTTTGGGTAATTTTGTTTGTCCTCACTGACTCTGTTCATTGATGTCTATAAATGAGAAGCTGGAGATGGCCGATAGATAACACAGCAGACATGCATTCTGTAGGATCAGGTTGGTTCTGAT